TCATGTCTGTCATGTTGGAGTTGTAAGAGGATACATGGGTCATTACTTAACATTTTTTGGGACTGCCTGATAATTTACCAGATAATTTTGGGAGAACAAAAATTAGTGTTTAAACTAATTGACATCCAAATTGAGAACCAATCTGAGGCATTTTTGCTGCATCTAGGTCCCATATTCAGGAGCCACTGTAAAAAGTCACTCTTGGTTCACTTAGTGAACACAGCCAGGGTCTATATACCACAAAATTGTATCTCTGTGGTGAATGAAATTCAACAGATGCAGGCACGTACAGCTTCTCTAAAAAGGAAAGAGGAGCAGCATTGAAAGACATGGTTTCTTCTAGGACTACCACTCCTATATGTTTCAATAGTATACCTGTTCCTCAGTTTCTTGTACTCAGTGGGTTTCACACAGACCTGATGTTGAGGAGTGGTGACCACACACTTCCATTTGTGCATTTTCACCTTTCCCTTCTCCATAATACCCTTCCTACTCCCTTTTTCATTTCCCCCCCAAAACTCTTCTCTCTTTTTTTCTCCTGTTTCCAATTTACAACTTTGGATGGGTGTTGGTGTTTGGTTGTCTTGTCTCCCTAGTTTCCTGTTGCAATCTTTTTTTTGCCTTTTTTTTTGTATAATGAAAGCATTGAAAGTTTTTATCCCTCATATGTACTCCAATTCCAGAATAACAATTAGAGCAAACTGAAGTTAAGAAGTTTATCCTGTACTTTGGTACAACTTATGTTGTATTGTGTGAGGCGTTTCTGCAAGGATGTGTATTCTTTCCTGTATGTGGAGACGTTTCAAGTTCCTGATATCTTATGCTTCAGATGTGTATTATGTGACTGTGTTTTTTAATTATATATTTTATTAAATCCTTCAACAAAGCTGAAAAGATTAGCCAAAATCATATTTAAAGTGATGCATTTCCTTTTTTCGTGCACTATCGTGCACTATTCTATTGTGATAATCCACACGAATCATAAAATGAACTTTATACATAGAGACATTTTCATGTTCTAAATAAATTATTGTGGATCCACAACATATGGCCTGCATGCATTGTGGACTGCAAGCTGATTATACTGGGCTTGCTACGTATTTACCCACGGTTTGAATATACTTTAGATCAGGGGTGTACCTACAGGGGTTACAATTGCAACCCTGACCCAATACTTCAGGGGATCCATGCGGCTCTCCTGTAAACCTGGATAGTAGGGGTGGTGGGGGCAGCATTTAGAGAAACCAATTCCTTCTGCAGCTGCTGAAAGCCTGATTCTCCCTCTCTCTCCCGCAGGCATTCAGTGGCTTCAGGAGGAAAGTGGAGGGCATTGGTTCCTCTACATACATCCAGCCCCTGCCACCCATCCTATCCAGGTCCCACTGCCCCCGGGCCCGTGTGCTGTCCTGACCCCCCACCCCCAGCGCTGCCAGGTTCTCCCCTCCTGTCTCTCCCAGTGGCTGATGCAGGGGGATACTTTCAAAATGGAGAGCAGGGAAGAGGCTGGTAAATATGTAATTTCTTGACCCCCTTCCTTTTCTGAATGGACAGTCAGTGATCAGTACTATGCTTCAGTTTGTGGATGAACAGGAATCTCTGTACAGAACTATTGCTGTCCATTCATTCTGTGCTGCTGATGTTGCAGAGAAGCAGATTGAGGTGTCCTCAATCTCCTTTCTCTGTCCCAAAGATATTTACATAGTTAGTCTGGCTGAAAAAAGACAAAAGTCCATCTAGTTCAATCATAAAAAAAAGTTATAATCCTATACCCACAGTTGATCCAGAGGAAGGCAAAAAAACCCAGCAAAGCATAATCCAATTTTCTCCTGCAGGGGAAAAAATTCCTCCCTGATCCCTTGAGAGGCAATCGGATATTCCCTGGATCAACTTACCTATAAATGTTAGTGTCCAGTTATATTATGTGTATCTAGGAAAGAATCCAGACCTTTTTTTTAGCCAATTTACTGAACTGGCCAGAACCAACTCTTTAGGGAGTCTATTCCACATTTTCACAGCTCTTACTGTGAAGAAACCTTTCCGTATGTGGAGATTAAATCTCTTTTCTTCCAGACTTAAAGAGTGCCCCCTTCCCCTCAGGGTGAATAACTACACCGAATTCACTATATGAACCACTGATGTATTTATACATGTTGATCATATCGCCCCTTAACCTCCCTAGCGGTATTCCCGAGTGTAGCTCAGGGTAGAGTTTCAGTACCAAAAGCGGTAACCCCAAGCTACACTCGGGCTTACCATGCAGCGTTGCACAGGGATTCCCTGCAGCGCTTAGCTTGTCCTTCGCTCCCGCGATGCGTCCCCTGCAGCGTCCCCAGCTATCTCCTCCAGCCGATGCCGGCATCTGGCTTCCGTGTTCTGGTCCCTGTGACTTCGGGACGTACGGCCGCCGAAACGGGCGGCAAATTTGAACATTTTAAAAAATGACATTTTTTTTAAAACGATTATTTCATAGCAAAACATTGCTGTTTCAAACCATTTCACATACATTTTGTCCCTACTGCTTTGTCCTGTGCCCTGCCTGCATTTTGACTGTTCTTTCTGCCTGGAAACTTAGAAAAGTCCATGGCGTCCAAAAAGCGTCCCTTTATGTCACAATCGGTTTTAGACCAGCTAGAGAACAGAGATAGTAAATCAGAACCACTTGCAGAATTGAATGATAATGATTCGTGGGGAAATTTGTCATCAGACACTAAAAACGATTCTGCGACTTTGCTCAGTGATGTGCGAACTTGGCGCTATATTTCAAAGTTCAGTGTTCTTGGTTTGATTATATTATTGAATTAAATTTAATATTATTATATTATTATTTTTTATGAGTATTTATTAAATTATAATTTATGATTTCTTGTTTCAAGTTTTATCATATCCGGAATGTTTACTAGACTCTTGTTCGTACAGATTTCAGTGAGTTATTCCTAAATTACAGGCCTACAATAAAAAAACGACATATTTCCATGTAAAAAAAGGTACCGCTTTCAGCACCAAAAATTTGAAATAATCATACCGCCAGGGAGGTTAATCTCCTCTTCTCAATAGAGAATAAATTAAATTCCTTTAATCTTTCCTCATAGCTGAGCTCCTCCATGCCTCTTATCAGTTTGGTTGCCGTTCTCTGCATTTTCTCCAGTTCTCCAATGTTCTTTTTGTGAATTGGTGCCCAAAACTGAACGCATATTCCAGATGAGGTCTTACTAATGATTTGTACTGGGGTAATATGATATCTCTCTCTCTGGAGTCTATACCTCTTTTAATACAAGAGAGGATTTTGCTCGCTTTAGAAAACGCAGCTTGGCATTGCATGCCATTTTTAGGCTTATGAACCAGAACCCCCAGAGCCTTCTCCACCATTGATTCCCCCAATTGTACTCCCCCTAGTATGTATGATGCATGCATATTCTTAGCCCCCAAGTACATAACCTTACATTTATCAACATTAAACCTCATTTGCCCCATAGTTGCCCAATTACACAGAGCATTGAGGTCGGCTTATAAATTAGATACATCCTGTAAGGACGTTATTCCACTGCACAGCTTGGTGTCATCTGCAAAGACTGAAATGGGATTTATAATCCCAGAACTTATTTTGTTTATAAATATGTTAAAAAGTAAGGATCCCAACACTGAACCTTGGGGTACACCACTGACAACCCTAGACCATTCAGAGTATGAATCATTAATCAGTACTCTCTGAATTTGGTCTTTTAGCCAGTTTTCTATCAATTTACAGATTTTTCCAAGCTTGTAGGCTTTACTTTACTCATTAGCCGTGTGTGGGGAACTGTGTCAAACGCTTTTGCAAAATCCAAGTATACCATGTCCACCGCCACCCCTCTGTCCAAGGTTTTGCTCACCTCCACATAAAAAGAAATCAGATTTGTTTGACAACTTCTGTCTTTCATGAATCTATGCTGTCTGTTGCTTAAAATATTTTTTTCCAGCAAAAACTCCATGTGGTCTTTTTTTAAACTCTCCAGTATCTTCCCAACTATAGAAAAGATGAAACATCAGAGGTCCGTTTAGACTCCTGATATTTCACCTAAGCTCACTATGTGGTTCCTAAAAAATGAAATTATAAAATAAAATTGTAAAAAATAAAAAGTAAAATAGCAAAAAAAAAAAAAAAACCCAAAATTAAAAAACTACTGACACCAGGGTGAAAATAGGCCCTGGCATTCCGCCACAATTGGGGAGCCCCCAAGACGGCAGGAAGGGGGTCTGTTGCAGAACATGTGAAAGGGTCCCACTGCGGGACCCTAATAAAGGGTCCAGCAATGGGAGTAAAGGAGCCTGGAATCAGTGGGAAGGGACATGGCCAGGGGTCAGAAGGTCCCTTCATAGTTTCTTGCACAAGGGTCCTGAAAGTTCTAGTTATGACTCTGCTTTAGACACTGTTTTACCAGTGGCTGGTGTGCTGCACTAATTTGCTGGTGGATCATTTTACATGTTGTGGATCTACACTAATAGGAAGCAGCTCCCATTGTGAACTCCTATAATATAATGGAATAGATTCCTTATACATTATTTAAAGTATTTGGATATACAGTATGCTTAATGGCTGTGTAGTAGGATGTGGGAGTTAAACCAATAATTCAGATGTTTGTGTGTTTTTTGTACTTATGATTTTATATCTTGGTAATTGTATTTTGATATACAATAAACTGATATGTACAGTATTTTTTATATATTAGAGCTATATACTTTTTTATATATTATGCAGTCAACAATACAAGCCTTTTATAACAAATCTCTCCATATATAAACAACATAAAGTTGTCCGAGGTTCTACCCCACCTCACTCTGTCCAAAATTAGAGATATGCTTTAATGAATGTGAACAATTAATGAATCTATACAGGTGTAATGCAAAGTTAGATCAATAAATGTTATGTTGCACTGTCAGCATTAGAGTGTTTGTTTGATATAAGGTAAGTGTAGGTGCACTGTTTCAGTAAGTTCATTAAAATATTCTTTTTTTTTTCTCACCTGGCTTGTAAGTTTGGACACTTCCTGAGCCAGTTCAATATCTGGTCGTCCAAGACCAGAGATACCACGGCCAGCTTCTTCACGGGCCTTAGCTTTGTACTGAATCTAAGAAACCAAATACAAGTTTTGTGTTAGTCTGCATACAAATAATAGGATTTTTGCATTCAATGTGGACTTACCACTATATGTATAAGTGCAAATTCACACTGCAACGCAACGCGGCAGGAGAAATTCACGGATCTGCGTTGCTGGCTGTGCTAGAGGGCAGTGTGATGTGTCATCCAGCGCATCACATAACTTTTTGTTTTTTTTAACAAACTTTATGTTAAGTGTACAAAATGTACACTTCATTCACTTCATACACTTCAGTGCGATTCAGGCTGGTGCTCTGCAATAAAATGCAGCATGTCCACACCTTACCACAGCACGCTGCAGTGCAGCACTAGGCTGCATTGCAGTGTGAATGGGACACACAGGAAATGCTTGTTTCCTGTGTGTCCCTGCGGTGAAATGTCTGTCACCAGGCATAGTGAGAATTGGCTCTTAAGATAATTTTGTGGTTCGAAATCTTCTCTTAGAATCCATTTAGGGACACAGCTTAATGATTATTAATCAACGTGGGGTTATAATGCAGCCTACAGATGGACACTAGGCACATAGAAACTAAAGGCCAGACCTCTGGAGGCAAACCCAACTCCCACCTCCCACTAGCATATGAGGGTGGGGACTCCATGTGGTCTTTTATTAAACTCTCCATTATCTTCCCAACTATAGAAAAGATGAAATCAGATATCAGAGGTCAGTTTAGACTCCTGATATTTCACCAAAGCCCCCAATGTGGTTTCTAAAATAAAACATAAAAAATGAAATTATAAAATGAAATTGTAAAAAAATAAAAAGTGGAAGTCTTCTTTCTCTGGAACACAGCCATGATGTCACTGCTGACCACAGGACTGTTGCAGATAGAGCACCAGTAGAAAAACGGAGATTCTGGACCCACTGGATAACTGGAGACACCTTCAAGATTTGTCATAGCCAGCATGAATCTACCAGTAACTGTATGTAGTAGAAAATGTTTGTATGTAGTAGAGAATGTTTTCTCTGGAAAATCTACCAGAGAGGAAGGAGGAAGGAGACTGGCCTTTTAGCTTCTATGCGCCTCAGTTATAATCATGCTGTGTCCCTCAATGAACAATTGAGAATACTAGTAATAACAACACTGTGTCACTAAGCACATGAAAATTATGTACTTACATCACTGACTAGTTTAGACACATGAGTTGCCTTCAGAATATCAGGTCTGTCAATAGTAGTTGTGTAGTTAAGGTTAGCCTTTGCCGCTTTCCTGTAAGCAACCTATAAAGCAAATCAGAGAGTTTAAATTTTTTATATATATATATATATATATATATATATATATATATATATATATACACACACACACATATGTACTGTATGTACACACACACAAATAACCTGAGAAATCAATTCTTCCACATCTGAAGCAAGTGACTAAAAAAGGGTCACAAATGACTATAAGGGGTTGATATATTAAAGCCTTTGCAAGCTGAGCAGCCTATTTACATTTAGTAAATCAACCCCTATCTTTATGAAATCTTCTAATATTCACAAGCATTAAAACAATAATTTCAGATATAGCAGAAGTGAAGCACCTTCCTCTGCTTGCATGCTTTCTCTCCCACTAACACCTAAATGCTGGGTGCTGTGTTGAAGCAAAGTTTCCACACTCCCAACGTGCTGAGAAAATGAAGAACTGCCACACAATGATGTCATTGAATGCACTAATTTATTTCACAATACATCCATAATTACAGTCCCTGATTAAAAACCACCTTCACCAGTGTGTTTCACGCAATAGGACTAATAGATGAATAAGCCCTATTGGTTGAAATGCATTGGAGGAGGCGGTCTTCAGGCAGGGACTGTTATTGTAGTTGTACTGTGGAATAAACTGGTGTATACAATGATGCCATCAGTGTGCAGTGATTCTTAATTTTCTCAGTCACTTCATATAATTAAATATAATAAAATTAAATATAATAAGAAAGTTATGGAAAACATAATGATTCTACTTCTACAAGTAATAATCATTATCTCTGAAAAGATAAAATATTTTTAATGTGTATAAAAACAGCAACCCTGCTCTGTGTATTATGCATAAAAAATAAAATTAAACAAGGATCTTGTAAAGAAAACCTGGGATATCTAAATGTTTAACATTAAAAAGTGTTAAAATGTATTTACTCACATTGCTTTGGGCCTTGGCCACCTCAATTGCGTGCTTCACCTCGGGTGGTTCCTGCATGATGGCATAGTTGGACTTGCCTTTCTCCTTTTGAAACTTTTGTTTGTATTGTTTCTGTTAATAATTATTCAGATAAAGTTATATTTCTGATAATTTAAATACAGAACTAGATTGCTGTTAAATGACTAGATCTAAGGAAATCCTTGTCTGCAGCTTACAAGCCATACTCCATGCTCTTCTTAACCGGGCAACTATGTGGCATATGAGGTTTAATTTTGATAAATGTAAAGTTATGCACTTAGGGGGCTAAAAAGATACATATATCTTACATTCTAGGTGGGGAACAGCTGGGGGAGTCAATGGATCTGGGTGGGGGGAGAAGGATCAGGGCATTCTGTTAGATCATAGACCTAATAATATCATGCAATACCAAGCTGCACATTCTAAAGCTAGCAAAATAATTTCTCATAATAAAGAGAGATATATATAATGTTGCCCCTGTACAAATAATTAATAATACCTCATCTGAAATATACAGTTCAGTTTTGGGCACCAGTTCACAAAAAGGATATTGGAGATCTGCAGAAAGTGCAGAAAAGGGCAACTAAACTGATAAGAGACATGGAAGAGCTCAGCCATGAGGAAAGTTTAGTTAAATTTAATTTATTCTCCCTTGAGAAGATATCATAAAGGGGGATGTGATCATCATGTATAAATACATAGGGGGTCCATATAGTGAATCTGGTGTATTCATTTTCAAGTTATTATAGAGTACAAGGGGGCACTCTTTACGTCTAAAGAAAAAGAGATTTAGCATCCACATACGGAAAGGAACTGTGAAAATGTGGCATACGCTCCCTCAAGAACTAGTTCTGGCCAGCTCAGTAGTTTGCTTTTAAAAAAGGCTTGATACATTCTTAAATACACAAAATATAACTGGAGATTAACATTTATAGGTAAACAACACCATGGATTGTTGATCGGATCGAGGGAATATCCAACTGCCTCCTGGGGATCAGAAAGGAGATTTTTTTTCCCCCCACTGGAGCAAATTAGACAATGCTTTATTGGGTTTTTTGCTTCCTCTGGATCAACTACGGAAACAGGATTGTATATATGGAGGTTTTCTGTTTATTTACGATTTCTTTTGGCTGACCTAGATGGACTTGTGTCTTTTTTCAATCTAACTATTTAACCATGTGTTGTTACGATCACGTTGCTCTGGTTGAAAAGGCTGTCGTGTAGGGTTGGATGTAAACTGATGTAGTACACATCACTCACCTCACTAACAATCTTAGTCACTTCTTTAACGTGAACTGTATCACGGGTCTCAGGAAGAGTCGTAAATGTACCGTGTGGCAGCTGCCTCTTTCCATCCTCTTTGTATTTGTTCTGAAAAAGAATTTACAGGTTTAGTTTTCAAGTGATATTTCTTTATTCCCGCCATTCTGAATTATCTCTTCTATTTGCAGGAAAAATTTTTTAATCATCTTTCATTTTGACTTATTTTTCAACTCAGTTTTTTTACCAAATAATTGTTTTCATGTTTCAGAATGGAAGAAAAAACGATTGGGATTAGTTACATGTAATACATTTACCATGTTGATAAGTACATGTGTATGTAAGTATTTTGTGTAACTATGTGAAAGTTTTATAAAGCTGATTATATAAATTGTTAATTTTTTTAACTGCAAACCACAGTTTTATCTGAGATTACAGTATGACTAATTAAGTTTAAAGGTTCACTTCTATATATTTGTACATCAATGGTGGTCTAACACTTAGGCCTCATGCGCACAGAAAGTTTTCTTAACTCTCCTAGAAGCCTTTGCTCCTGGCAACAGAAAAGCCTGATGCTTGCAAAAGTGTGTAACGCGTCTAGACGCATTTAGCTGCATCAAGCATTTGGACGTTATGTAATTTCATTGGCCAGAATTAATAATTTATTCAGGCCATTGAAATTAATCAAATGCTCAAGTGCTAAACGTACCAAGTGTTTAGAACAGTCAAGAGATTTTGTACCAAAACCATGCTGCTCTTGGACTGGCAGTAGTTTTCTTTTTCCTGCTTCTAAAAGCTCCTGCAGCTGTTAGTCAAAATGTGTGACAAGAGAACAGGGGGCGGAGCTGAGCCTTCTGTGCTTATGGATGCAGTCAGCATGACTTAGGATCGAACCCGCATGAGTGTCCCTATAGAAAGTGGCTTGCTATGGGGGTACATGGAGAAGAAGAGGAGCCAGGAGAATGGGACCCAAGAAGAGGGGGCTCAGGCCCACTCTGTGCAATTCCATTGCACAGAACAGGTAAGTATATACCTGTTTGTTATTAAAAAAAATAAAGCTAGCTTTTACTATCACTTTAAAGACCCCCACATCATTAGCTATGATTTCCAGTCTATAGTGGACCTTTTTATGTGACACATCCAAATAGGATCCAAGAACACTAATAAACTAATAGTTGAGGTTCTGTAACAATTGTATTATGTAATGGGACCCTATATAAAACCGTCAAAGCAAAAGGAAGGGATCTGAATCACGTACAGGAGGGTGACATCAACTATAAAGGCTAGTAGACTAGAAAATACATTTTGCATGGGTTTCAATCATGATATGGAGAGGCATTAGATGGAGGATGAACACAATATTAGTAGGTTGACTGTACCATTGTGAAAAGACTATTAGCAAATAGCTCAGTAAAACACACTTCCACCATAATTCCACAACAAAACTTACCTCAGATACAAGAGCACTGACAGATTTAGCATGAATGATCTGAGGTGTATCTGGAACAATTCCAAATTCTCCTTGGTACGTTCCTCTATCATACTTCTTCTTGTATTTCACCTGCAAGCAAAGCAAAATATTAAATATAAGCCCGTGGCTTTATTCCATCCACAAAAAAATTATGTTCAGCCGATGTTTACTTCAGAAGGCTGGCTTACAATATTAAAAAAACTGCCATGAATTGAAGCAAGTGGGCTAAAATAAGCAGCTTTTTTTCCCATTTTCCCTAGGTCTTACTTTCCCTCTGTGAATCCTACAATGTAATGCATACACCTGACTAAACTATAAAGGTGGCATGCTGTGGGAAGGAGGTGGGTCAAAGGTGAAGCCACTATACCTATTAAGCAGACCAAGGTACCTGGCTGGTGAATATATAGAGACACTATAAGCATTTACCCAGATTAAACAAAATACCATGAAGATTGACAGACTGTTAACACTTATGTTTTCTTAATGCTTACTGCTATGTTACTCAACGTATTTTTACAACAGCAAGGTGTCTTCAGCAATGACTCACATAGTTATATGCCTACTTTTTAAAAAGCTTTATATAGTCCCAACAATGTACTTTCTTCATACTGTTCTTGAAAACGTAAACCAATGTACTTCTCAGTAAAGCAAAACTCACATTGCTATTCATTTCATTATTCTTCAGGGCCAGGACAGTGTCTTTGTCATCTGTAACAGACAGCTTGCATCCTTTTAGGAATTCTCTGTCCAGTTTGTATTCATACTGAAAGGTAGAATGAAGTTCGGTAGAAAAATGTGAAAATATGGCAAATTAAAGAAGAGATTAAAATTAAACAACATTTGTTCAGTCACTAATTCAGAATTGTTTTTATGTCTAAATATAACCTACTAATAATTTTTATGCCATCTTATAAAGTTGAAAGGGTACCATATTCATATTAACTGATTTACCATACCATACAACCAGAATAACTTGTAAATGACCACCCTGCATTACAATCATTGGGAGTCAGCAGTCATGCAGTGTCTGTGCTCATCCCAAACTGTTAGTAGCTATGATATTCCACAAAGGAAAGCAGAAATATTGTCACTGGAACCCTAGGTTTATCCTATTAGTATAAGAATGTGTGGTGGTATTTGAACAGGGGGAAATGGATTCTGGACTAGCAGCTTCTCCACGCCAAAGAACCTCCATAAATTCCTTGACTTGTGCCAGATTCAATCTGAGATTAAAGTAACACACCAAATATATATTTACTCCAATATAATTATGGATAAAGGATGAAGCCATTGCATCTTGGGGACCTCAGAAAACCCCCCTTCAAAAAGAATCGTAGATGTGATGCAATTTTACTGGGCTTATTGTTACAATACCACTTTATATGCAAATGTTGATTATGCTAAGGTATGCTAGTGAGTAACAAAGACTGTACAAGAATGCAATGTTGCTTTCTTATTAACAGTCTAAGGGCTAAGATAGATATGTGTCTTACAATTCTGTAGCAATGCACTTGTCTATGGACCACTGACATACCAGTGCAGACTAGTGAGTGTGTGTCACGATGCATGCTAAGCCACTTACATCACTCTGCTGTAGAGAAGACTTTGCATTCTGCAAGAAGTCTGGTCTATCCATAGTCCACTGCCAATGAGCCTTGGTGGCCTCATATTTCCTCTTATAATCCAGCTGTTTAACAAAAGAAATTTTGTTAGGAAAACTCAGAATGTATTATCATCAGCAGAAGTTCAAAGATGTGTTAAAGAGGCAGTGCAGAAGAAGAAAACAGAAGAACATATAGTTAATGAGAGAGAGAAAAAAGGAAAACGTGGGTTAGATGCAAACCTGTGAATTTTTGGCCTGCGAGGTAAACATAACCAATAACGGTTTTTGTGGTAGGGGCAGTTTGCCATAGGCTAAAGAAAGGGCACTACACTAAGTGTCCCAGAGTGATTGATGTCCATGAAAGGTGGACATTGTTTGGGAACATGTTTTTTTGGAACTCACATTTTCATATATTATATATATAAATAAGCCAGTTTGTTGTAATTGTAAATTACAATTTTCTTTATTAGCTGATCAAGATGGCTGCTGCTCTGTAAAGATGATATGGACTCACTATATAATACACTATGCCATCATCACAAATAAGTCCTGACATTCTGCCTTCTTCAACAAGGTGAGCACAAAATATTTCACAGTTTTAGACGGGCGGCCAAGGTAGTAGATGCTGGAAGATTGCAAGTTTGAACAGTGAGGAAGGCACTATATAACGTCCAGTCACTGACTGCAGGCCTGGCTGTGATTGAGGTCTGAATAGACAAATATTTCCACTCATGGCCACCAGCCAGTCATATATTATTTATATTGTAAAGCGCGGAGCAAACTGTTGGCGCTACATAAATCCTGTATAATAATAATATTATTATTTCCACTTGCACAGGAGGCAAATGCTCCTTTGCTCCTCCTCCTTTAACTACAGGAAATAAGAGGGAGAGTAAAAAGGGAAATAGTAGAGCTAGGAGAAAAAGGAGTAAATCAAAACATTACTAAACATTCTTTAGTTCTAAACACATCATCTCTCATCTGGCCCTGATGTGACAAACAAGACTTGACAGAGCACTTTGCTTCATGTTTATTCTCCCAGCACAGCATTCCCAATATATTCCTAAGAAGAATCCATTAAAGGGTTAGTGACAACAGCATTATTATATCAGACCTCCATATGACCCTTTATAGGAATATACACAAGAAACAAGGTACTTAATCTCCTGGCCAAACCTTGATTGTCATAGTATGGCCTGCAGTGAAGAAATATCTCCACTTGGGCAGCAGTAATTACTAGAAAGGAAATCAAAATTTAATCATTTCATCAATTAAAGAAACACTTTTGTGTGATGTTCCATTTTTAAGAGGATGAAAAAAGAGATAGAGGGAGGAATAGCAGAAACAGACAGAGGAAGGGCAGGGAGAGAGAAGTAGAAACTTACATTGCTGATGGATTTGTAGGCATCTTTGGCTGTCTTGATAGGGAGAGCATCTGGCACCATGGTGCAGTGTCCTCTGCTCTTCTCATAGAGTTCTTTGTATTTCAGCTTTAAAATATGAACACACATATTAATATTATCACTATATAATAAAGTTTAAAATCCTTAACCAGGCAATTCACTTGGCTCTTTCAAAGCAATGGTCTTCATGACCCATTTTAGCCTAAATCACACATCATGCTGGCAATGCTGCACACAACATTGCAATAATTGTATAGAAGATCATTACTTAAAATAAAGATACAAAATAACAGATATAATAATAATAATTTTATAAATAATATTGAATGCTAAGATGTTAGGATTATATGTTGGTATCAAGACCACTGATGTTGATTCTCCACAGTAAATGACCAGGCAGTCAGAAAATGACTCCTTAGCTATTAAAGTAACTAATATCTGATTGTTTTTAAGACTTGTATTTCTTTTTGATATGTTTAAATTATAGGTCACCTATGTTTGGAGAACTTATAGCTTGATGACAACTAAGAACATGTACACACCTCACTGATCTTGTCCTTTACTTTCCGTGCATGGAGCAGTGCTGGGGTATCATGGATTGTGGTGTAAGATTTGGCTTTAGCCTTGTTCCAATCCATTTTGTAAATGATCTGCAAATGTAAAAAAAAAAAACCATACATTACAAATTTAGACAGAAATTATATTCATCTTTAAGTATATACACCACCAGAATATTCAATTATTGCTTGATCTGAAATTCTGCATTGCTCCTTTGTAAATTCTTCCTTAGTAAGCCACTGTTTAGTGTATAAATACCAATCTTACTGTCTCATAGCATAATCTTAAAGAGCTAGACTACTGCATATTAATAGCTCAGACACTAAATTTAAAATTTAGAAGGTTGGGGTTATTTTTATTCTAGTTTAATTCTTAGTCTTTGCATAAAGGGCTTGAGAGTATAGAGATCCAGGGGTAGTAGTTGGTCTAGTTATGAAGCTCCAGTTTTACCAACTGATTAATGATGTGGGCACGAAGATCCAGAGATTGCACTTGATAAAAGGGGTGCGGGCACAGAGACCCACTGTTACCACTCAATAAAAGGGATCGAATGAAAAACATCCAGTCACATGTTGCATAAATAAGTAAGGGTCATAGAGTTCACCTTGTCACTTAAATAAAGCTGTCAGATCACAGAACTGTAATGTCAGCACTTCTATAAAGGACGTGTGGCCATTAGGCTCCAGTTTTTCAAAAAAGTCCTGAAAAATCCTGGAAAATAAAAGCAACCTGAATCCAGAAAATAAAGGCAAATCTTGTAAGTTTGAGAGAGCCTAAATGAATTAAATGAAACAAACTAGCCTTTAAAGCTAGCCATACATTATACAATTTTTCTTATTCAATTTCCTTTAGATTTACCTTCAATTATGTAGTACAAGGACCTGTCTTATTGCATTCAAATTCAAAGTGTTTAGGTTTGACCTCATATTATACAGTATTGGTAAATGTAAAGAAAAAATTTACAAGAAAATTGTATAATGTATGTTCAACCTTAGAGTCTAACCAACTGCAAATGTACCCTGAGAAAGCTTGCTATGAGAACCACTAATACCACGTTGCTCAGAGCCTACTTAAAGCAGAACTAAAGGCAAAATTACAAAGTTTACAACCAGGCAGGCTATTTATCACAGAACAGACATACAACATCTCTTCTGCAATAAAATAAACCTACCTGCCTGTTTGCAGCCTTCTGTGGCATGTATACTGTGTTGCCCATGCGCAGCTCAGTTTACATTGCCAACTTGGTCTCTGTGTGCACATGCACAAAATTTATGTTATACTGTACTGTTAATAAAGATGACCAAATACTGACACCTGAAAACAACCAGGGAAGAGAGGCCAGTGCCAAGGAGGGACCTCCTGCAGCATTATCAATCCGTTGGAAAGCAGGTAAGTATTATGACTTTAGGTCTGCTTTATATGGCCCCTAAACTTAAAAGCTCGTGTTTGGCAGTCTAAACAATTACCAAAGCCAGTTATTATATGAAGCACAAGCCTCATTATGTATATAAACAAATCTCTTTACCTCACTGGCTGAGCCAAAATCTGTTTTATTTTTGTAGCACATGCTTATCTTCCCAGACACTGAACATCCTAGTGTCCTAGTAAAAGGTTTCAGCATCAGAGGCATCAGAGGCAGTGTTTTGAATCCAGAATGCAGTGGGCATGACTAGGTGTGGCTAGGTTTTGATTGACAGGCTACAAGCTTGTGAATCAGCAGTGACAACATTTTGCATCTCACTGGAATTCAAGCAGGCACAGCCTATATTAGAATGGCAACTCTGCTATGAATTTAGGAGTAGTGCAGCATCAATGCCCCACTATTACATGAAGCTGCTTTAGGTGGACTTCACTGACAGGCCTAACAAGTATTTTGGGGGCTTTGCATGGGTACTAAGGGAAAACTATAAGCTCAGATTCACTAATAATTAAGTGCTGCAGTATATACAGTATTTGCTCAAAATGGAGGAGCAAAATTATACTTTAAGATTAGAACAAGACAAAGTGTGTAACCATACTTACCTCACTGATCTGTTTTCCGGCCCTCTGAGCCCGGTTGTGCTCTGGTGTGTCAATCACAGTTGTGTATTTGTCCTTCTCCTTCTCATAGAGCTCTTTGTACTTCCACTAGTAACACAAAACAGAAGTACAGCTACAACAGAAATCTTCAATGTGTATCAAAGTTTAACTAGTGTGTGGTTTAGATAAAATTATAGCCCATGTTACTCATGCTTTTATTTAAATCCATATTCTCCAGTTTACACGATGATTTGCAACCAACACCAAGAGTTTTGATCTCTTTCTAAGGGAAGGGATTTAAACGTATCAGTTATTTTGCAACCACAAAATCAGCAAGTCTGTTTCTGCGGAGCACTGCTTAAAAATAAAAAACACCACTGAAAAAAAAAAAACAACAAAAAACTACACCACTGCAATCATATTTTCTTGTGAATTCGGAAAATAGATGTGAACAGTGAACTAGAGTTTCTAATCATCCAACGGCCGTTGATGTCTCTAGCTCACAAGTAGATAAGTTATATTTAATGTAAGGATAGGCTCATATATCTGTGATATATTTTTATTCTAACAAACCAAATGCTATTGATAGTGAAGTTGCAAATCATCCTAATATCATTTATGAGAAATGGATTTTTAAAACTGTACAATACTGAAACATGGGGTGTTAGAACTCTGAGGATTTGTACTGTTAGCAAATGTTTACTGTGATTTAAAATGATGTGTCATGCTAATTTGCAATGTGTATATATAGAGTTCAGCATGTGTATGACCCTATGTACACGTGTCTATTGATTGATTACTGCGCAGTATGTTCTCTACATATTAACCATATCAGGAGCACAGTTACAAAATGCATCCTAACCATTCCTAATAGGACCACATCAATTTTGTTCTATACTCTACCAGCACCCTATGGGTTTGATTTACTAAAGGAATGGTTACTTTGCTAAATATTGACTTAGCTTAATGAAATAGGTAAATCTGTGCCCACTACGATCATCTAAAAAAATACCTTTGCTTGTACATGATTAAATTCCCTTCTACATATTTGGTATCCTAACTGAATGCAGTTTCACCTCATTACTAATCTAAGTGAACATTCACTTTGTGAACAGTCTCTACTCCCGTAATAAATACATCCCAATTAAATTTCCCAATCCCACTAAAAAATCCCAATCCCAATTTTTGGTGCATTCTGTTTTTGTGAACTGAAAAGATTTCCATACAACATGTGGCTATCATGAAAAGAATTAGGATGCATTTTATCTGCAGTTTTGGTTCAAACATTGTGCTGCACACCATCGTATAAATACGTACAATATCATGCAACCTTTTTGCTTATGTGACTTAATAATCTACAGTATATATCCCAATATTCTATATTGCATCACAAGCTCAGTCATTTGTAAATTGAACTTTATGCCGAACCATGCAATTAAAAGACCTTTATTTTGCAATGCACAGTTGAGAAAAATTTTGCAATTTTTGAAGTGGATTACCTTGAAGTGTGCCTGTCATTCATGCATAAATTAGGTGCCATTCTTTAAAGTAAGACTTATTTCAGAGAAGGTAAACTACTAATTCATTGTTAGCAATGCTATGGTACAAGTTGTGTGTTTGCCTAATGCTGCAGTGAAGCTGCTGAATTCTCGGGCATATTTCTTTAGAGGACAGTAGGCAGCTGAGGGCTATAAATATGAATAGAAGTGATGTCCCTATAGAACTATTTTGAAATATATTTGCCCGTTCAGTTTACAAAATAAATCATTTTTTCATCACAACCATGCAATTCAAAGCTCAAATACATACAGCAATAACAACAAATGTTAAGATTCACATCAAGACAAAACACCATAAGGAGTGATTTCACACAGACAGCATGCAATGCCAGAACAGCAATGTGACAGACAATCTCGCCTGCAGTAACGTGTTATTAAACAAGTGGTATTGTAGCTCCAGTGAGTCTGCAGTGATAGCCTCCATTCCATCTAGACTGAGAATCAATTATTTCATTGCAGTGGTGCTGGCTCATTTCTGCCTGGGGACATTTCCTTAGTGACACTGTTGTACTTCTCTGGATGTGTGAATCATTGTCTTAGGGTTGTTGTTAATTATCTGATGAACTGAACACGTGCTCCGTAAATTGCTTGGCACACTATTGCTGTAAGTGGGCTGGTTACGCATCACAGGTATTATCCATTGATTGCGGAGAGATTATTCTCAATTGTTCATTATAAACCTGGTGACATTATCATCCAGACATGACCCCTCTCTATACTGCATATATTACTCTAACTCTTTATACTTGCTCGAGTGTAGAATAGAACGGAAAATAGTGTTTCAAAGGTTCAGATGGAATAATTAATTTAAACAGCATGTTTAGGCTAAAAGTGAAAGAACTCAGTGATCTACTAATGTTATACAGTTAATGCAGCAACTGTGATAGAGTCAGAACCTTGACTTAATTTATCATATCTGAGTTGTGTAGACCCTTGCATAATGTAGAGTAGAAAAAGAGTTCTGCTTAAAATTCATAGCATTAATTAAATGCTATGAAATACACTTATAAGTGTTTAGTAGCAGGCTACACTGCCCCATAACTATAGGGTAATAGAGGTGTAGGGAAGTAGATCACATTGCCTGGGATATAGTTTATGTGTTTCATCTGATGTAGATGGTTTCTCTTTAGGTGGTTCTTTGATGAAGAGGAGGCATATAACCTAGCCTAAATCTCAAATACAGCTTAGAGATATATGGAAACAAATTCCTAAAAAAAGGTGTGTAGCTCTACAAAGTAAGAAAATTGATTTATTGGACAGGAAAATGTGTCCTGTTGGATGATTTACCCTCACCTCTTGTTCTTTTGACAACTCTAAGGTTGTGGATTTCCCATCACGTATCGTCTAGGTGACAATGGCCACCAGGACAAATAGAGAGAGTGAATCTACCCAGAGAGGAGAGAGCTGGCTGGAGGAGTGGGCTGAGCTCTCTGCCTCTGCCCTATAAACAAGAGTTAAACAAGAGGATTGCTCACACTGGGCTGTTGCCGCGTCACCCCTGAGAACTCCTGGAGGCACCCCGATTGAAAAACACTAGTTTTAGCATAAACCACACCAACTAACTTTAGAAATAAGAAAGAAAATCATTACATTTGCAATCAACTTTTCAAGTAGAATTCTAACTACACTGCTGTGAAAAAGATTTTATTTGTCATTCTAATTTGCATAAAGTTCATAAAGTAGCTATAAAGCCAGTGCTTTGTCACTGATTAGTGGGAAGTACTGCATCATTTTACACAGAGATGGCGCTACATCTCTGAAAAGTTCAGCTATGTTAGGAAGCAAGGGGATATGGCCCATGCAGAGTTTTATCTTTTGGGATTACCTGACTCCACATGCTGGTGTTGTAAAGGGCTCGCAACATATCTGGCCTTTGAATTTCATTGCAACCATGTTCCAGCAGCATCTTGGCAGTAGATTTGTACTTTTTCTGTTCATGCAAAGACCAACGAAGAACACTGATGACATGTAAGACAGCACTAGATCCCTCGAAATGCATGTGCAGGGATGTAGGCAGAGGAAAACACTTTGTACTAAGGTAAGTCATGGCAAATAAAGATTTTTTTTTCAGAGGTACTACCATTCATATTTAAAATTCCTTTCAACAATTTGCAGTCTGCATTATATTTTTAAAATTTATGGACACATTTCACATTATCACATCATTATAATTGTAATGGAAGACTAAAATGGTTTTAGTCAATTATATTAAAAAAAATATGTATCCGTTTTTAATTTTATGTTTTTTACTATCTACATACAATCTGTATTTTACAAATTACATCTAACACATAACAAAAGATTCCCATAGCATTATGGGCCAGCAAAGGAAGTCTCTGCTTTGAGGTTCGGTTTGTCTGAATAAAACTTCAGGCTGAGCCACTTCATAAGCGTTAAGTGATAGAGATAAATTGAGTAAGCTTGAGTCTGAACTCATCCTGCAGACTCAGAGAGTACAAGATATATGGTAGTAAATACAAAAAATATGATATATATATCATTTTTATTGCATAAAAAAAAATGAAAAGATTTTTATATATGAAAGAATGTATACACAAAGCCACTATACATTCCCTCCGTGTCCATGTTTTCTGTGATTCTCACTGCAAATATGTACAATTCAAGAGCTTGATAACTTTGAAAGATTTTAAAACAATTTATGTGGTTATTTCTGATAAATGAAAATGATTACAAAAGGTATAATTTATCTCTGCTCAAATTCTGTTTTGATTTGAATCCCATTAGCTAAAAATATAAAACCCTTTTTTTGCCATGAAAATGCCAAGTACAGAAAGTATTTTTATTATAGGCGCACTCAAACATGGAGGATCAGTTGAGTGGCAAGCACACTGGAACCAAGAGAAAGATGTCTCTTCCTAATGACTCCCCACGAAGACGAAGAACAGACGGGCCACCAGCTTGCATTAACTGGCAACGGGCAACCTTGTTACCTGGCTAATCTGTTCACTGGCAGTTTTAGCCAGAAGGTGTCGGGGGTCATCCACAACAACGCTGTAGTGCGTTTTCTCCTTTCTCATGGGCAGCTTTGTATAATTTCTGCTCAGAACAGTACAGGGAAGTTAAAGCTTAATAAAAACACAATATAAACTTGGAAACAAAGTCAACTGTTGGCTTTGGATAAATTAAACCATGAAGAAAAAAATTGTAAACTTAAGTAAGAATGGTATTTACTCAAAATATACATTTTGGTAAGCAATATAAATATTATAGCAAAGGTACAGTAATAATTCTTAAATCTGTAAAAAAACAGAGGAGTTAAATATAATTATACAATAACAAATAAGTATTACTTTTTAACTGCATGGAAAGCAAAAAAAATTGGTAAGACTAATGCCTAAGATTAAAAGCCAGACTAAATTAACACTATGGATAACTAGACTATTCATACAAACAATTCATTAAATTTCACATATATATTTCATAAAATAACAAACAGTTGAACAATTAGCTAAGAATTAAAGCAATTTACAGAGATATCACAAAATTTGATTAGGTTCTTTCTATGCAGTAAATTCTTACATAAACTATACTCTCCCTGGGTTTTTAAATGCTACTCTGCTAAAGTATTGTCCATAATTCTAAATACACCTATTGGCAGATACATTTTATAGCTTAGAAACTTAAAATAAAGAGGAGTGGTATGCAGTAGCAACCAATTGGAACTCTATGGGTATAAAAGCTGAGTTTAACAGCAATGAGCTATATGTTGTTCAATACATTAAAAAAATTGTATGTGAATATCCATAATGATGTACAGTATACTACTGTACAGTATTAATATTATATTGTCATTTTCACCCACATTTCTTACAATGAATCTTTCTTTTTTTTTTAGTAAATGATGCTCTTGTGTATTTGAGAGCCATTTAAAGCTTTTAAACAAATATGCTATATTAATTAGGGATGCTTAGGCCACAAGCACCATGAACCTGTTTTTAAACCATTCAGGCTGTTTTAGTTTGTATGTTTTTCAACTTTCTCTTAGTCAGAAAATTGTTTTGGATTTACAGAGATTTGTCTTTAGTGAATTAGCCCCATATTGTCCATACAGATTTCATGTAGGAAATAATTTGGTTTTGGTAGTCCAAGATATGGTATAGTTATTTAGCTACACCATGTTAGCTATACAAAAATGTGGAGGTAGTTTACCAAGGTTACAGGTTAACTATGGCTGGGTTCACACCATTACTGTAGCTCTGCATTGGGCAACTTTGCCCAACACATATACAATGCAAAGACAAGACTTTTCTTTCAATAGGTGTAGTACATACCAATCAGCTGTGGTTGTGAGAACTGTGTTATGTTATCTCAGAGCAACATGTTGCAACATGCTGCTCTGCCGAGAATTGAATGAGGTGTTATTTTTGACATTTCTAATAAAGTTACCAGTGGCCAGGGGCGTATTTACCACAAGGCAAACAAGGCATTTGCCTAGGGCTGCATTTTTCACAGGGGCAGCAGCATTTTTCAGGGGTGCAGTGGGACCCCCCTAAACAAGGAATGGAAGAAAAAACACACGCAGCATAAGGACCAGGTGGGATCTGAGAGAGGCTTTGGGCTGCTTGATGGTGTATACAGAGCCTGACTCTGGTTCCTGGGGATGTCCGGAGCTGTGAAGGTGAGTGTCTTCTCTCTCGATGGGGTGGGGGGGTTGGCAGTGTATGGGGGGCGGGGGTAGTTGAAGGCTCTCTTGGATGGGGGTGGGGTGTTGTTGGTCAATGTCAGGCTCTCTTCCTGGGGGAGAGGGGTGTTGGTCGGTGTCAGGGTCTCTCTCCATGGGGGGGAGGAGAGCCAATTTTTTTGTGTAGCCTAGGGCAGCATGAACATTAAATACACTACTGCCAGTGGCCACGTGTTGTAGTGCTGTGCTTTTGAGAACCCAGCTTAAGTTGGAATGAAACACAGTTTGAAGATCTAAGATAATAAATCTTCCTTTCTCATCTTGGTTCCCATAAGACTGAGGGTCTGTAATCTATATAGAATGCTGATTCAGTAGCACCAGGCATCTTAGCATTTAGCCTGAAAAAATAGATTGAACTACATCCTCTGATGTCATCATTTATCATTCATGACCCTTAAGGCAGCAGTCACCTCACCTCATTTGCCAGTTGGGTGGCATACTTGAAGTGATTGAACAGAGGAGTATCCGCTGTGTACTTGAATTTGGATTTTATCTTTTCAAAAGACTCGCGGTACTTGTACTGTGGAAGAAGAGAGAAAACTTGATCAAGATTTATTTATCTTTAAACTCAGTTAGAGTTATGTAATAAGGATAAGGCAATCCAAAAACATTAGCCATATGTATATTTCACTAATACAGCTACAGTAAACTGCACTTTGCTACTTGATTACTGTGGGTCACTTTGCACATTGCTTTTTCAATCACCCCATTACACAAACCCAAATCCATACACTAAATTACTATCATGGAAAAAATCATATCATTGGATGTATAATTCAGAATACTGAGCACTTAGATTTCAGAAAATAGTTTTATAAGAGTTGGCAGACAAAAGCGCAGTGATCTTGTGAAATTGGTATAAATCATATATGCAGTGTATAGACATGGGTAGACAATATAGACAATGGGCATTAATTGAGTTGGCATGCCAAATTTCTTAAAAGAAACAGTAAATGCAGCTGGGAAGCCTGATTTACCCAGCTCTATGCTATACAGTGCTTAAGGTTGTGGGAAGGAAATATCAGGGCTTTTACATAATTTTCCTAAACTCCTACAGATGGAACAATGCTGTCAATGTAAAGGAATATGGGCAAATCTAGGTGAGGCTTTTTACTAATAGGGCTATCAACATTGCCAACATCTAAGCAGCTACAGAAGCAGCAAGTGAAGCAGTGTTGAAGCAAACTGGCTTTCACCCAATTAGGTCCTACTGGTATGGGCAGCCTACACCACATATGCAATATTTGTTTAACCATATTTTTATTTAAAGGGAAACCCTACTGAAAAAAAGTGTGTGTGTATGTACGTACTCCACTGTAGAGTTGTTTGTTTTGTCCAGCCAGAGTTAAGTCAGGTGTGTCCCACGCGTAACAACCGATGCCCTTCAGCCATGTCAAGTCCTCTTTGTACTTGAACTGCAGACAAAAACAGTAAGTTATTATCCCATCATCAAAAATTCCAATTTCTTTAACCCAAATAAGTGCAAGGGAATATTAAAAATAATTTTTGCTGACACATGATTGATTTATTGTAGTGAACACAGATTCCCTTATTTATTCCCTCCACACATGCCAGGGAGCTAGGCATAATTCTAGACTCTGACCTCCACTTTTGGCCTCACATCTAATCACTGGCTAAATCCTGCCATCTCAACCTCCACAACATTTCCAGAATTCGCCTCTTCCTGACTAACGACACCAAAAAACAACTTATCCACACCTTGGTTATATCCCACCTTCATTACTGTAACTCCATCCTCACTGGCCTTTACACAGGCTATCCCCCCTTCAGTCTAATATGAATGCTGCTGCTAGACTTATACACCTTATCAACCAATCAGTGACTGCTGCTCCTTTCTGCCAATCCCTTCACTGGCTTCCACTAGCTGAACATATAAAATTCAAAATACTAACCACAATGTACAAAGCCATCAACAATACTACCCCCAGCTACATCACCAACCTCATCCGCAGATATCATCCAAATCGTCCCAAAACATCTTGCTGTCTAGCTCCCTTGTCACCTCCTCCCATGCTCGCCTCCAGGATTTCTCCAGAACCTCTCCCATCCTCTGGTGCTCCCTACCCGAGTATGTCTGGTCAGTCCCCACCCTGTCCGCCTTTAGGTGATCTTTGAAAACTCATTTATTCAGGGAAGCCTACCCCACCTCCACCTAAGAACTGTACTTGAATCAGCTCCATCAGATCAACCCCCACAGCTTTCACCTCTTGTATCACCTCCCCTTCCTTTAGCTTATAATCTCCATGAGTAGGGCCCTCCTATTCCTTCTGTATTGAACTGTATTGTAACTGTACTGTTCCCCTTTATATTGTAAAGCGCTGTGCAAACTGTTGGCACTTTATAAATCATGAATAGTAATAATTTACTAATCCTAGTAAAAACTCACTAAGTAAAGTGAACACTATCCCTTTGGTAAATCAACCCCAGTGAGCAACAAATGAAATCCTGTATCCTGCACAAATGACACCTTTATCTTTTAATTATCAGGAAGAGCAACAGAAGAGTGACTAAAGCTGAAGCATCAAACTCATTTATTTTTTAACATAGTGTATTATATGAAAAATAAAATGTATTATATTTTACATTTTTAGATAGAAATGTTAGTTGCAAATTAAATATTTTCTGTTTAACAAGCTCTTCAATTAGTTCCCAATCAGCATGCAGGCTTTTAGCTTTTTCTACCTTGCTTTCTCTCATCATTGTGAAGAGCCTTAAAGTTCAACTAAACCTGCATTTATTACTATAACACAGTCTGGTTGCCTGTATAGTAAAAAAGTACACCAGCAAGGGTTAAAACAACCTTGAGTTAGCAGCATGCAGGAAAGTCAGACCGATGCCCTTACACACAAAGCCCCTACCTACTGCTGCAATTCACAGCATTTACTCTACCTGGGCAGCACTGTTACTTGGAGCAGTATTCAGGGGCATGTCAGACTATTGGAAACCTAGCTGTGTGTAAACAGTCTGACTCTCCAGTGTGCTACCAGCATAGGTTATTTTAACCCTTTCTGTGGCACATACTACATAAACCTAATAATAAATGCAGAAGGTTTATATGAGTTTCAAGTCACCAGTACAAAATACAGCTGAAAATAATGAAACGGCAAAAACTCAAATAGTTCTGGATCACTTTCCAAAAATGTAAAAAAAAATCTGGTAATTTCACAGATGTAGGTGAGATACAGGACAATCATGTTGGCAAATTAATAAAACAAAAAGCTGTGCAAGAATTCATAACAACTATTCAGAATTTACCTTTATCTGACTTAAGGTGAAAAAATGATTTCTTATAAATTATACATTATTATATTTGAAATGCCTTGTTAATAAGGCAGCTTCAGTTTAGAGATATGAAAGAACTCAGAGATGTCCCATTCTCTCAAGTTTACTAATATACTTGGGAAAATTTGCAGTGCCATCTTTTGGACTTCAGTCTGCTACACATCATAAGAAACAAAGATAAGTGTATTGCTGTTGTTTAATTGGGGGCAGACAGGGGTGTGGATTCCTCAGTGTAGTTTGCTGGAATCAGCCCCAGTTCAATAGATAATTTCCACTTTTGGACATTTAATTTAATTTGTCATCATGCAAGTTAGGTATAATAGCCATTAACTTACGTCACTAATGGAATCTGTCACTGCACGGTGATGGAAGTACTCAGGGTGGTCTGGAATGGCCCTCCAGATACCCAGCTGGCTCACATATTTCTCTTTATATTTAACCTAAAAAATAGAAGAATATATAAATGAAGAGTTTAGAATTAGCATGAAAGAATGCAAAAGAGCGTATATATCCTGTTAGTCACTCACATTGCTGATGTCATCGGTGACTTTGCGGTGGTAGATGACATCCAGGGCATCTTTCACTGTGTGGTATTTACCCTTGGCTTTCTCAAATGTTTCTTTGTAGCGAAGCTGTAGAAAATAGGAATGAAGTGTTATAAATGGCACAAATATAACTGACACCAAAACCCCCTACCTCATGTATAATTTGACCTTGTATTACATTAAAGCTTCAGATCTAGTAAAGTTCACTGAAAGATCAGTGTAAACAGTTTGTCTTTATTTATCCAAGAGAGCTGAACCTCTAGAGATATTGGCTCTGTCAGCTAAGGAATCACGCTTCATTGTTGCAGAGACATTATTTAAAAAGCTGACAGAGTAATTGAGAAACCCCCCCCCCCCCCCCATCTTGGGAAGACGATACCCCCAGCTTGTGAAGGTGGCGATATGTAGATGGAATTGGGAACTTAGCTGCAGAGATCTCTTTACCAAGTCACTTGGAAATTATACACAGGGCTAGTGGCTGGCTCAATCCAAAACTATTCGTTAATCTAATAAATTATTCATTTTGGGTGGACTGTGTCTTTAACTAATAACCCCCTTTAACAAATCACCATTAATTGATGGTAAGTCCCCATAGCCAGTACAGGATACGTACATCGCTAGCATTTAAGTAGGCCTTCTTGGCTCTCAGAATAATTGGAGTGTCAGGCACAGTAGTATATTTGTGCTTCAGTTTCTCGTATTGAGATTTGTATTTTTTCTGAAAGAAAAAAGCAATAATATATCTTATTAATTATACAAAATTGAACAAAATACATAATAAATGTAAGTATATTGCATTCATGACTGATGCAAGCCCAGTCACAGCTAGTGAATAAACTGCTTAAGAGTGGAATGTGTCACTGCTTGTTGTCACTACTTGTTCCCAACTTTATCACCTGTATTTCATTGCATTTTCATAGAAACCCTTAATCCACTCTTCACGCTTCCGTAAGTATGTAACAAAAATAATAAATAATTGAGAGGACTGGCAAAATATGGCTACATTAAATGTAATTTTTTTACTGGCCTAGGCAGGACTATGTTAAAGGAAGGAAGAATCCCACAAAATAGCTGCATTGCTAAGTTACAAAAGGCATTTTGGCAGATACAAAAACTCAAATCAAAAATCTAAACCCTAATCCATAAAATCATCTAAAACTAGAATTTCCCAATAACATTATTAGCATTAAATATTTCACAATATGAATAGGTCATATGATGAAAATGTATTAAACAATGTGGTAGAGACCCTGGTCTTTAAATATTGAATATTTTGCAATACATTTGTGTGTGATATTTCAACAGCACCTCCCAATCTGATAAATGCATGGTTTATGTGCATAAGAAATGATAGAAGAGAGTGATATAGTTGAAAAAGAGGAAGGGCTGTTAGAACATAGAAGGTAGAATGGTGGCAACTACCCCAATTCATCATATGACTATGTACTGTATGGTTCAAACCAATGCAGCTCTGGGTTCAGATCCCACCAAGAGTGCTATCTGTATGGAGTCTGTATGTTGTCTCCAGGTATTTGTGAGCAGTCTCTAGGTACTCTCATTTCCTTCCACAATATACTGGTAAGTTGCCTGCATTCCTCAAAAACTGGCCTTGGTGTGGCAGTCCATTATATACTATATTCGGTACTTTGTAATATATTTGATATATCAATAAAAATAACTCAATGGTTTAAAAAAAAACAACCACCAAATTCATTACATATATGGAAATCTTACCTCGCTGACCAGGTCCTTGACGTGTTTAGCAAGTTTGATTTCTGGTGTTTGTCCATCAGCATGGTGATGGGGTCTCTCTTTTGTTGCAACCTCTGTGTATAAGTACTAGAATAAAAAAGACAGGTAATGTTTATAATAAGCAAAATGTCATAGTTCCTAGTTTTATTCACAGGGCGAGGTATATACCTTTTCTCAGCTACAAGCTAGGTAAAGTAGTATTAACACACTGCCATGTTTTCTTGATTCATTGCTAATCATTCTTTTTATTAGTCATTGTAATAATGCATGACCAGTTAAGGGATCTCACCTTGCTCTGCATTTCTTGTCCTTTCTTTGCTCTAACAAAGTCAGGAGTGTCTAGTACGGTGGTGTATACTGTCTTCTGCTTGTTGCCATCAGCTCTGTATACATTCTATAAACATAGAAGGCACTTAATAAGACACAAAATAGAACATGCAGAAAATATTGTTAATATTAAAGAGAACCTAGCATCAAATATACTCTTGTGCATGCATGCTAAGTAATATGTAACTGTAACACTTCCAGGTATTTATTATCTCTCACACAGATCACAGTACAGTCCCTAACAATGCCTTCATCTGTTCTTCTCTCCAGAAGGGTAGCACTATTTTTGTTCAGGCATAATCCAGGGTTAGCATTAACTTCCTGGATTGAGATGCTGGCTCAAAGATCTGAATCATCTAAACCTTGGTGCATACGCAGTTCTTGGCTTTGCAAATGTGTAACACAGATCTCCCCCCACCACAGCCTCTCATGCTGTGACTTGCTACACAATGTAGAAATCTTGCAATTACAGGCTGATTGTCTCCAAGTCAATCCATTGATCGACTTGGGTACAACCAGTAGGTCGGATTTTCAACATATGATTAGTGCCAGCAGCTATAGCCGCTAACACTAAGCCGTCCCCGCTGGAAGAACAGAATAGCTCCATGGGAGGTAATAGAGCAGTTTTCTTTCCTGCAACCCATGGTTGCTGGAAACAAAAAATGGCATAATTTGCCTAAGGAAAGGCTTCCTCCTGCTTGCAGCAGACTGATGACATCATCTCAGCCTAGCAAAGGTCACCTGTCTGGACGTCAAGGATGACTTATTTAATCATAACAGCTGTTGTGTAAAGTGTTACTGTTGATGCATATTGTAACAGTTCAGGAATTTTTTGACTTGTAAAGTTAATGAAAATCCTTCATAAGTGGAGATAATTTGAGCTTTAGATCCCATTTCATTATGTACCAGATTTCATATTACAAAATGTCATCCTCTGTTTAACAATAAAATTCTAGAAAATAAATAAAAACATATATGAGTGTTGTAATTGCCACTTAGTATCTCTAATATCCTCCTTGTTCTGTGAAGTCCAGTCTGTCTTTAAAGGATAGTTTACACTAGCATTAGCTCTCTGAAAAGTGATCCTCTGTGAATGAGGAGGTATTCTGTCACTTCCTATTTCAATCCCTAAAAACCGGCGCTACTGTGTTGTCTGAAATGGGCACTTTAGCTGAAGTATCAATGATCAGCTTATGCAGTTCTGCTTCACCTCAAGCACACTCAGAAGCTAGGTTACAGAATGTGAGGTCAGGCAGACCTCCTGTGACCTCTGACCCTTGAAACTGCTCATTGGTAGATGTTCCTAATGTTCTATTCTAGTGGGTACCTTTCAAACATCTCCTCTTATCCCTGAGAGGAACTCTGGCTGTCTCTGTATGCCAAGTAAGAGTTGGTTCTAATTACCTACAGTTTCATTATTTACAAACTGTAGGAGATTCTTTCTAAATTTAGTGCAGGCATAGCACCACTTTATAAAATTGGTGCTATCAAGAACGACCTGAATCTGCTGCAGATTTTGGTAAAGCTCCAAAACAGACAGCAGGCATTTTTTAATTCAGCGCAGGCCATTTTAAACAGCCATAATGACAGAAAAGTGGTGCTAATCCTTTATTAAATTCTAACTGTGTTGTAGTGCAAAATAGATATCATTTAATATGCAAAGTCTCAGGCATGTACTATATTGGTTTTCCCTTATAACTCAAGATATGTTGCTCACCTCACTCAGATGTGTCTTTAGTTCCTGAACAGTCCTGTATTTCTGGGGTGTCCATTACCACACTGTATTTGTCCCACATTTTCTTGGCAGGTGTGGTGTGTACTGATAGTGAGACTGAAAATCAAAGGCACAAATAGTTTAAACCAACAATGAACTATGTAGGCAGGAATGTATTTACTACTACTGTTAAAATGCAGCACATTATAGCATTCTCTTACCCAGAGTTTGCGCAGGTCACGAGCCCGCACCATATCTGGGGTGTCATATAGGAAGCATCCAAGACCTTTCAGCCACTGCAAGTCTTCCTTGTACTTATTCTAGAGGGGGAAATTTAGAAAAAAAGTTAGCTTTTGTTATCTTGTCATAATATCACTTTGTTAGATGTTTTATTGAATACAGTAACAAGAAATTAAAAAACAAAAATGTAGTAAAAAAATAAAATACTATCCAACTACAAAATCACTTACATCACTGGTTATCTCTCCAACATAGCGGCAATGCATAGTCTGTTGGGTGTATGGCATGGAGATCATGTGACCTTGCAATTTGAAATAGTCAGATTTGTACACCAGCTGCAAGACAAAAGGAGGAGTATGAAATAATGAACTGTATATTGTCATAAAGGAAGATCCACTGTCCTTTATCAACAAAGAAGATCAACAAAACCTACATCACTAATGGCATCCTGTGTAGCTTTGACTTGGCGGATCTCTGGAGTATCTGGAGTTGTGTGTATTTTATCCTTCTGCTTGTGATACAACTGACGGTAAAGCCGCTGAAATACAAGAAAAAAAACATACTCTATTAAAAGCATGGATAAAACATAATCTGCCAAATAGTACAATTAAAACATTTATCTTCTATAATCTAGAAAAGACTTCCAGTTTCGAACATAATTGAACAAACACATATCTATAAAACATAGGAACACCCTTTCCTGATCCAAGGGTGTTTTAAGAAAGGGGCACAGTCAGCATTGGCCTCAATCTTAGGAGTCAAGGTAGCCTACCAATAGACTTGTAAGTTTTAATGTTTGGATTAAGAGGCTGTAAAAGAGTGTACAGCTAAACCTTCTGGTGCCTCAAGAAGTCAACAGCCTAAATGTCACACAAGTAAGGTAAGTCTTTACAAGCATTTTTTCAGCCTAATCCCTTCTAACTCAAAGTTTAGGCAACTTACCTACCAAAAAGCAGCTACTGGCTACCTCAAGGACAATGTCCTCTTAGCAACAAGGAGCCAACTAATTGTGCTAGGTCTGTTAGCTTCTTTTATGTAAGGATTGCTGTTTAACTTACTTAGAGCTATGCTATTATTACAAAATGTCCATTAGTGCAAAACAGGAAAGATGACAGCTTAAAATAACAAAATCGGAGATACTACAGAAGTGACATATTCTCCAATATCATATGCAGAAATGTCAAGAGAGCTACCAATGAGCTGAAAAACTCCCAGGGGAGGTGAACAATTGAAACCTTTGGTAAAAATAATATAAATCCCTGTCTAGGTTGGTCTGTACTTCCGCATCAGCACATCCAACCAAGTGCTGATTTTCAAGGAGTTCAAAGAGTGATTGAAAAAACCCTTTGCATGTGCAGTGTGAGGCATATGAGATGTTTATGCTGCTTTTCTAATAAAATAATATTTTTAGCACCCCTCATGATTTATATTACAAACTTTGTCGAACTATACAGGTTCAGCATATTTATGCTGGACTGTTTAATAAAAGTACATGCATATGCTGTTGTTAGTGAACAATAGACCATTACACAATCAGTTAACAATAGACCATTACACAAAGGCTACAAAGATATGAATGGAGCATGAAATAATGACTCCTTACCTCATTAAGGATGCCATTGACTTTCTGGATGTTGACAAGGCTAACATTATCTGGAGGCAGGGTATAGGATTTAGCCTTCACATGTTCATAGAGTTCTTTGTACTTCAGCTATTTTGGCAAAGAAAAGACAAGGCAGATGTCAGGACAATATTTCTAACAAAATGTAACAGGAGCCAACATGCAGTTCTTTGTATTTTGTTTGAAAATCAGAGAAGATACTATTGTAAATGGTAGAATCTACTCACATCGCTGCTAATGATCTGAGCTTTTTTGGCTTGTACAATAGATGGCGTGTCCTTTGGAAGACTATAACCTGTGGGAAGAGATTTGACGCTGGCCTCCCGATACAGAGCCTGGGGAAGAGAAAAATAAAGGTAAGTCAGTGGATGACATTCTGGCAATTATCTCTATATGCCTATTTACATTGTTAGATATTTTAGATTCAACTAGCTATATTGTACTCATTTGACTTGTGTTCATCTTTTGAACTTTGATGGTACATGCATGCTTATTACCAGAAAGTTCTATATACAAGTTTTTGGCATAAAAACATTTACTACATGTGGCGTGCACTCATTATTCCAAACAAACTCATTAAACTCAAAAAGTACTTTTTTGATACAGTAGATAAGGGTTGACAACCTTGTCGGCTTTTTATTGCTGTCTGTATTCCCACTGAAGATTTACCCTTCTATTTGTCCTAGTGAGCTATGTCACTGTTACTGAAAGAGAGGGACATTTTTCCAGTGGGGAGACTTGTTGCCAGGACCATCTAAAGGAGGATTTCAGTCACTTTGAAGAGAATTCCTTTCACTTCCTTTTGTGTCTACAGAAAAGGAAATGGGGAAAACTCCCCAGTGTGGCAGATGGTAATAAAAACCTGAGACTGGTTTTAACCATACTCTACTCCAAAACTAAAACTGGCTGCAGGTAGAATTTTACTAAACTAATCTTGAACCTAACTGTATGCTGAATCTAAACCCTAATGCCATGTAGTTCTATAGCTATATGCACCTTTCTACATATATATCTAGTTTTATTACATTTTAGTTTATAACATGTGTGGTAGTTGGTACATCTTTAAATCTCTCTATGGTGTATGAACAGAAAAGGCATACTCACATCACTGCGTATCTTGTTGGCATTGCTGGCTCTGTCCAGTTCAACTGTGTTGGTGCTTGAAGTAACTTTTCCTCTAATATTCTTCGCATAGTCAGTGTGATACACAACCTGAGAAAATTAGACATAGAAATTCTGACTTATGCATTTTATTTCTCTTAACAATGATGGGGATATATAGAAAAGTAAAGTGCAAGCATTCAGTTGTATACTCTGTGTCTTTTTCAACAATAAAGCTTCAGGCATTCAACTTTGTAAATGAATAATTTTACGTTCCTTTGTGCTTTACATGAACAATACTCACATCGCTGCTTTGTTTGCCACTGGTCACAGCCTGGACGTAGACTGGAGTATCCACCACTGAGGTGAACGTCTTCTTCAACTCTTCAGCTTTAGCTTTGTATTTGTACTGTTAGATACAAATGACATTAGTGTTAATCATTCTGGAGATTAGTTATTCGGCTAGAACCTCAAGTGTCACTGCCCTTAGTCCAGTGTTCTGGGTCCTAAGTGTTTGTGTGCCAACATTCTGAGACCCCAAGTTAGGTATTTTTAACATGTCAAATGATCTGTGCTCCAAGTTTTTGTGATGCTTTTGTTTGTTTCTGGTATTTTTTTTTTGTCATAGTTTAAATTAATCTCCCCTCCACCAGTGCCACTGTTCTGGGACCTATCGTAAGTGTCATGATGCCCTTGAACCATACTCTTAGTGTGCTAATGTTGCGTAGATCATAAGATGATGATTTACTGAAGCAAAAAAGCTGTTTACTTTCGCAAGGGAATTTTCCTTTAGCATAATGAATATGGTGAAAACTCCCTTTTCAAAGAATACCCAATCATATGGAAGGAGAATTAAAAAAAAAACAGTATTTTTGCTTGCACATGACTGGATAATGGAAGCCAGCAGAGGTTACACCATTCACTAAGTTAAGAGAGTATTCCCTTGCAAAGTGAAAAGTTTATCTATCTCTAGTAAGTCAACACTTACATGTCTTTTTTATTTGCTAACAGCAATACCTAGCAGCCAAAGAATATTTGGGAGTTACAGATTGTGTTGCTACGATGCAGAGCATACAGTAAGTATTCCAAGCTGTTGCACTTACATCACTGCGAAGGTCATATGCATGCTTGGCATGCAGGATCTCAGGTGTATCCCAAACGAAGCAGCCCACTCCTTTCAACCAGTTCAGGTCATCCTTGTACACAATCTGGCAGATGGAATGAAAAAGTATTACTAATGTTTTTAGTGCTCACAACCATAATATAAGGTTTACTAGGCATATATACTATTATATTATATCATATTATATAGATATTAAAAAAAACTAAATGTTTGAATTCATAGTCCTGCTACTCACATCACTCAGCTGTTCATTGACTTTGCGGGCATGGACGTAGAGTTGAAGGTCAGGCAGGCAGATCCATTCATGGAGATATTTTCTGTATTCAATTTCACTGACTTTATGTTGTGTTTCCCGGGCAGCAACAATTTCCAACATGTCAGGAGCGATGTGGATCTTAGCTTTGTTCTTTTCATAGGTCTCTCTGTACAAACGCTGTCAAAACACATTCAGGAAAGGATGAAAAAGCCATTTCTATGTACTTATGATTTCTACCACACCTTGAGTACAAGCTAAAAAGGACAGATCCACCAAAACTGAAAAAATGTGGGGAAACCTAAGCTCCATTCTTGATTTTCTATTATTTTACATTTCAGGATGAGTTAAATTTGGTGGCAGAGTAGGGTACCAGGAATTAAGGTGAGTAGTTCTTACTACTGAGGTTCCAGAGAGACATAACATGTCAGAGGGCAGTTCAGTTGTAGGTGGATTGACCCTTTATAGTGTAACTAAGTGCAAAATCAATGATAAAATATTTGATTGACTTTGGGAATAACATTAACACAGCAGTTTTGTTTTTCTAAGTCTACCCTGTTACATAGTTTTATTATTTGTTGATCCTGCCAGTAGATGCATTAATTTCCACTTTCTGAGACCGGAAAAGTGGCAGTTACAGGAGATGGGGCAAGCCATTTAAAAGTACCAAGCGTTCTTACAGTCAGGTTTTATTCATATGGCCTAAATCTTTTTTCCAAAGTTAAAATTGAAAAAAAAAAAAAACTCCTTGAGGCCTCATTCACACCATGGCGCAGAGACATCTGTTTTTCTGCATGCATTCTGCAAGGGCACAATAAAAACCCAATTGTTCTCTATGTACCGTGTTCACACCACAACACTAGTATCACATGCAGATTTGTTTCTGCTCAGGAATCTGCAACGTGTATGCAGTTTTCTGTGCGGAAAAAAAAAATTACATGACATCAACATTATGGTTTGAACAGGCTAAAAGAGAAAGTGATAAAACAGGGTGTGATATCTAATTGTTCTTTTAAAAAAAAATGAGCATGAAAACTGATGTCCATGTGCAGAATAACTCACTGAAATGTGCATGAAAACTACTATAAGCTAGTGTCTCTGCAAGTGAAATCTATGCGTTTTACCATTCGTTTTTATGCACGTATGATGTGAACGAGGCCTTGGGCTTTAATTTATCTGCTGCTTATCTAATCTCAATTTAAAAATAGGTGTCCATCTAAAGTTGGCCACACGCTAATAGATTTTTTAACAAAAATTTGTACAAACATTCAGTTTTGGAATGAATGGACTTTCCTGCATGAAAATAACATTCACTGTTAGAAATGTGTGTGTTCGAGAAAAAAATTTCCATCCTGATCTTTTGAATTTTCTCATCAGTAAGGTCGAAAATGAACATTGATCTGACCCCATTAACCATTAGAAAATCAAATGAATGCCGAAAGCTAAAGCCTACTGTCGGCTGGTGTCAGAGCTGTTTCAGGTTCTGGAATAATGTTGGGATCCACCCAGCTGCCTAATTGACTGTTAGCTCCAGCTGTCTGCATGTGGCTAAGACTTGAAGCCAGCTGTGCCTGCCCATTGCCCAACCCAGCGCTCCAGTAAGTAAGTTTTTATTTTGCCCATAGTTACTTTTTAAGTCCTTATTTTTAACTTCAAACCACTTTTTATGTGAAGGCTGTCTCATGAAACGTTATAAATAAATATATAGATAAACAGCGCAAAATAGACCTGAATGCAAATATTAATAAATCACACAATATAAATGTCCCATATTAATTAGTGCATATTTATATCAAAAAATCTTCACAAAAAAACATAAAGTCCCTTGTGATGAAAACTGAAGATTCCAAAGATGTTTATAACCTTCCACCTATCACCCGTGCACACCAACATCAAATACACTCACCAGATTTTGATGAGTGAAAAGCCTTTAAGGATTTTTGGGGAATCCTAAAACCCTCTTTTCATCAGTTCAATGATAGCCTGCCCCTCCAGTTAAGATCTTCTTTCAGGTCCTCACCGGGGCTTCCTAGTTTGCTCCACCATATCATCAAAGAGGAAACTTATATAGTGTAATATTGCCACATCAATATTATACCAAAAGACAAAATCCAGGCCACTCACATTTCAACAGCTTGTAAAAGGCACATTTATTAAGCCCATGACAGCCTGATGATGAAAACCAGCCACATAATCCAGGATTCCCACACCAATGCAGCCAAATGGAGCAGAGGAACAGTAGAGAACCAGCCTAGATCCCACAAAATGGCCGCTGGAACGCACCGCTCGGCGTGCACTCCACTCACCGGAAGTGACGTCAGCCGTATGGCAAATAGGCCGGAATTGCTTCAACGCGTTTCGCCCCTCCCATTGGGCGTTCTCAAGACATCCATTTCCTGTCTCCAACGTCTTAAATAGCTCACAAATGGCCCACCCCTCACTTCTAATTGGTCAATAATCCTCTCCAGGGATACTAAACACTGCCCCTACTGCCCATTGACGTGGGAACCCTTTACAAAAAGAGGAACTATCATCAAGACAATTAGAATACTTTATACATCCATATTCCGGTCTATTTGCCATATGTCTGACGTCACTTCCGGTGAGTGGAGCGCACGCCAAGCGGTGCATTCCAGCAGCCATTTTGTGGAATCTAGGCTGGTTCTCTGCTGTTCCTCTGCTCCATCTGGCTGCATTGGTGTGGGAATCCTGGATTATGTGGCTGGTTTTCATCATCAGGCTGTCATGGGCTTAATAAATGTGCCTTTTACAAGCTGTTGAAATGTGAGTGGCCTGGATTTTGTCTTTTGGTATAATATTGATGTGGCAATATTACACTATATAAGTTTTCTCTTTGATGATATGGTGGATCAAACTAGGAAGCCACGGTGAGGACCTGAAAGAAGATCTTAACTTGGAGTGGCAGGCTATCATTGAGCTGATGAAAAGAGGGTTTAGGATTCCCCAAAAATCCTTAAAGGTTTTTCACTCACCAAAATCTGGTGAGTGTATTTGATGTTGGTGTGCACGGGTGATAGGTGGAAGGGTTATAAACATCTTTGGAATCTTCAGTTTTCATCACAATGGACTTTATGGTTTTTTGTGAAGATTTTTTTATATAAATATGCACTAATTAATATGGGACATTTATATTGTGTGATTTATTAATATTTGTATTCAGGTCTATTTTGCGCTGTTTATCTATATATTTTACTGTTTGTGTTTTCACACATTTTTTGCACAGCAGCAATTTAGAAGGGTGATTCACTTATTTTGTATTGGCGCAGGAATATTTTTCTTTTGTTATAAATAAATATGTCTTTAATAGTATCATTTAAAGCCCATCTCCACAGGCAAGCTTGTTTTTTTATTAAATCTATGACACCTCTCCAGTAGGAACAAAGACTTAATACGAAAGGCTGGACATGCACAGCCAGCTGTCATATAACATTTGTGGGACATTTTGGGGTAGATTTACTAAAACTGGTGTTTTAGGATCTAGTGCAACTGTACATAGAAACCAATCAGATTCCAGGTTTTATTGTCAAACCTTAATTGATCAATCTGTAGTTAGAAGCTGATTGGCTAAAATGCACAGCAGCACCAGATTCTGTGTGCACCAGTTTTAGTAAATCTTCCCCTAAGTTTTTCAACTATATTGGCTATTGTCTACTTGTAATATTTAACTTTTTGGTGCAGCTATCATTTTATTTTTTATAACTGTTCCCATATTATATACATGTAAATATGCTGTATAATCCCATGTACACATATTCATTAAATGTGTATGTATTATGTGATATATGTGGATTTATTTGGCAGTCACTGTGAACTTGTGAGCCCTTGCACGCCTTGACGTCACGCCGCCGGATCAGAAGGTCCGGCGGCCACCATTTTTAATATACTGGTCAGTGTATTCAGCAGCTTTATGCTGCACTGCTACTCACAGTCACCCAGTGTTTTTTTACCTGTGTATGTACACCACCTACACTTCATATCTTTATGCTCAATAAATCTTTTGAATACTACACTATGAGCATCCATATTTTTATTGCTCTGTACTGAGCTTTCACACCCCAGCCCAGGATTCCAGGTGACCTGTTCAGGCCAAAGAAGTGAGTCATAGACCAGACCGGCATACCCACTACCAAACAGAGGGACTTCCTGAGGATCATCCTAGTACCAGGCAGTACCTGCACGGGACCTCCGGCCATTTGGGATCTCTATACGCGCATTAAGATTGCGCTTCGGGGAGTGGGCAATCTTTCCATACTTTTTCACCTGGATACCGGATCAGATTTCACACTGGGCTAATTGAGTCATCATATAATATATAACATTGGACTCTTCGTTTATACCCATATAGAAGTGTTTATATAGGATTTTTATACTACATATGTGTTCCTCATTGGATACCTTTCATTTTAGCGCTGCACTTTATTTACATATGCTTGTCATAGAAAGGTTTTGTGGTTCCTTTTGGTGCATATAGCTGCTTCCATGTGCGCTCGCTAGGTCTCACATATATATGATCCATTACATGAATATATTCTTTTCACTTGAATCATATATGCATCCTTGAAAAAAACAGACTTTGTTTAAAGAAACACATTAGATCAAAAGCAGCATTTGCAAGATAATTTGCGAGGCATACTTTACAGCTATGATATTGTAAATGGTCTTTTTATAGTTCTAACCTGGAGAAATTATTAATGTCAAAACACCCTCCTTTTTTATAGAGAAAAAAAACCTGGAATGTTTTTTATATATGTATTGCTTGTTAGTGTTTACATGCCACAAATATCCCTTATTTGGAACTTTGATCTCAGTATTTATGAAGGGGCTATAGGTATGTATTCCTAATCATTTTCTATCAACTCTTTACACATTTATTTTATCACTGCACCCATGCTATAAAGATATGCATATTGATATAGATACACAGTATATACAAAGGAATGCAATATCTCACATCCAGAGGGAGTTTTCAACAACTCTGAGACATCTTGCTGTGCCTGGATCATCTTGGATACCCTTTGGCAAGGTATAAAGTGCTTTAAACTTCTCATATTCCTCACGGTACTTCAGCTAAAAGGAAATAATCAACAGTTAGTAATATAGCAATTAGACCTGGAGTACAAGTGAAGAAATATCAAGGTTATTGATAATTTTGAAATAAGTGCTCAGTTTATATATTTTTTCTTATTCTAATGCATATTGTTAAAAATAATATTTTCTTATTTGTTTTAAAACATTATATTTATAGTAAGCAGCAGAGGATGTTAGCTATTTCTGTTTGATGTTGTTGTTGCTTCAAATGCCTATAATGTTACTTCTGCTGAGGTTAGTTTGTCCCATTTATCTGAAGTTGGCGGCTAGACTAAAGCTGTGTAACATTAACAAACGATTTTGCTTGGGAGAACAACCTGGTAACCACCATTTCCTCATTTCCTGTTTTTTGTTTTTTTATGTGTGTTCCGGCATACTATTGTATTTATACCTGTAAGCATGCCTTACTATTCCTGTTGTGTGCTACTTTTGTGTAATGCAAACTTTTAAACTTCAATAAAGAAACAGTGAAAACTAAAAAAAAATTATATATATATATATATATATATATATATATATATATACACACACACACACACACACACACACACAGATATAATGCAATTGAAGCCACACATTCAGAGGGAAGCCAAATGTACAATCATAATCCAACCAACCTTGCCATAATAATTCACCACTGTGTGGGGCAATGCTTGGGCAAGCCAAGTCTTTTTGTTTAGGCTCATAGGCTCTGATTGCTGTCCATTGTTAGTCAAGAAGATTAATGAAATATTTTTTGCAATTTTTTATCATCATAAATTAGCTTTAAACACAACTTGTAACATACTTACAGCACTGGCAATGTGTTTGTTTTGCTTAGCAAATGACAAGGCCACTGTGTCTGCAGGAAGCTGGTAGCTGGTGGCTTTGATAGTATCCCAGGCTTGTTTGTACAGGTTCTGAAGAATACAAGTTTACTTATTAGGTAATTGTAGTCATTAGACCCAAGCTTAGCCACTGAACGTCAAACATTGCATTGATACGTACATGGCTGAAGAGATCCTTCAGGTTCTGACTGCGGTTGTAGTCTACAGTCTCCAGAACAGTTGTGTATTTATCCTTGGTCTTCTCATAGTCCTCTTTGTACTTACGCTAAACAAAAAGAGGACAGAATTGCATGACTGTAAAGCACATTAAACTGTTAACTATGCTACATCTGTTTCTGGTATGGACCAACGGTACTTACATCGCTGGCATTGAGGGCACTCTGGACAGCTGTGACATACACAGGAGTATCAGTAACAACGCTAAAGTTCTTGTAATTGTCCTTGCTTGCTTTCTGGTATTTCATCTACAACACATAAAGAAAATGAATTATAATATGCACATGGATAATATATCATATCCATATCTATCTATCTATCTATCTATCTATCTATCTATCCATATATCCATCTATCCATCTATCTATCTGTCTCCAATACCCTTTGATAATAGGTTTCAGGGGTTCTACATAGTTTTTGGTGGTTGGTGCCTTCATATCTGTGATATTCTGCAGGTATACTGTATATATAAGAGCAACATTCATCCTGTTATATGACTTTTCCTAATTTTATTGTGATTCTGTGAGGGTGTATACATGCATAATTGCCAAAAGAAGAGGGAAAAATACAGTACCAGCAGATAAGTACTTTGAGATGGGTAATGTATTTCTATAGTATTGAAGGCAGGGATTCACAGAAGGATAGGTTTATGACATAGACATAAACCCACTCCTGTGACAACCACATCCGTAACACAACAAAACCTTTTTTTGCAGTGACAGAGATCACTGAGGCAAGAAGTAAAGAGAAAATCTCCCCATCAGGGACCTAGACAGCTATAAACACTTACTGAGATTACAATCCTTCCCCAATCTATCTTAAACAAGACGTTTTGGCTGGGGGTCCACTGTAATAGACCAACTAATATTCCTCTATCTGCTATTTAGTGTTTACTCCACACTTTGCCTGCATTTTGTTAGTTGTTAATGTGGTATGAAGCCTACAGTGCCATCTGGAGTGTTCTCTGCATTACGCTGTAGAGAAAACTCCATGATATGCAGAGATCTTAGTTATATGTCTTTGACAGATCAAATGTCAACTCTCTCTCTCTCTGTCTCTCTCATATTTTTTTTTCTTCATATTTTATTTAATTAAAAATTAATGGGGTTTCAATTGCTCTGGGACATTTGTAAAGCATGTTGCTGTGCTTTCTAACTGTGATGGAGTACTTAAAAAAAACAGCAGTATGTCTGAAGCAATACCATACTGATGCTTTTAAAATCAATCCCTTAGTTTTACTCACTTGACTCTGAAGATCATATGACTTCTTCGCAAGCAAGATTTCTGGTGTGTCCCACACATAGCATCCAATGCCCTTCAGCCAGGTAAGATCTTCTTTATACAAAACCTGCAAAGACAAAACAACATGTAGTTAACCTGGATTTTTCAGCTAGAATATTCTGAGACAGATGTTTGATTTTTTTTTCATTGTCTGTATATATCAAAAAGCTGCAATTTTTGAATACATTTGGAAATCAAACTATTTCTTAAATAAAATATCAAATATTTTTATTGTGTTGTTACTTACATCACTCAAAATCTCATTGGCTTTTTTGGCGCGGATGTTACCCTGCTGATCTGGTAGGCATGTCCATTCGTGGAGATAGCGGCGGTATTCAATGTCACTCAGGATCTGCTGGCATCTTTTTGCAACAACGTTGTTTATCATGTCATTTGGAATATGAATCTTTGTTTTATTGTCCTCATAATTCTTCTTGTAGGGCAGCTAGGTAAAACAGAAGAATAAGAAACTCTATGTTGACAGGCCAGAGGAAGTATCAAATGTAAACAGTCCTACATGGATCCAACTATTTTTGGATTTTGAACTTCCTAACTGAATTTGTATCCGCTGGTTTAAACCTAGTTGTAGTATCATTTGAAGGCTTTTCACTGTTCTGATCAGCTGCTAGACAACTCAGTACTCTCATCAAAGCATGTTATTTGATAGGGATTTTAGAACTGTCCACTGTCATGAACAGATCTGATTTTAAATACAGATTAGGTTATAGTTTAGTTTGGTTGGACTTGACCATCAAGAATTTCAGCTTCAAACCTATAATCATATGCATACAGGCAATCCAGCAGAATCTAGAATTGATGTAATTTCAGGTAGAGTGTAACATTGACCTGTGATAGGAGTGTCTTATCTTTTCACAAACCTTGTGTATGCAGAGGCCTAGGTTGGTAGTGCAGAAAACTCAAATTCACAACCTGCAATTCGGGAAACACAACAGCTCAACCTCATCTATAGCTAGCAGTAGTACGTCATATTCAGCTGGGCTTGTTCTGAAATGCTGAAGACATTTCAGCACCCATCCAAGTGTCCAAATGTTTTAAAAAATACAAAGCAAGTTCAGTTCAGTCTGCCTAACTACTATTAGCTACATCATGACCTAAAAAAAATGAGAATCTTCCCAGTGAACCCGATAAGGACTTATGGAACCTGTATATATAGTAATTCCATCCTTAATCCTTCATCCTCCATCTTTAATCTCTAAGAACTCTCTTACTCTGCTTCATATTCTTCTTGGGCATTACATTTTAAGGTTGATCCTGGTTGTCAGTTTCTATGAATACTTCACAAATATATATATTGTTTAGCAAATTGCTATTGCACATGAATAAACAGTCTTACCATACTCCTCATCTTCTGGAATTCTAATGAACGCACAACACTTGGGAAGTCGTCAATCTTGGTGCCTGCAAGGTAGTGTCCCTTTTCTTTTTCATAATGTTCTTTGTATTTCAGCTATAAAACAGATATTTAAATAAGTTATGGCATTGTTTGTAGGTCTTAGATGAGAAAAATAAATCCAGTAAATAACACATAAGAAATGAATTCACTTACATCACTTGAAACAAGTTTTGAGTGTTTGGCTCCAACAATAGGAATGTACTTTTCATCCAGTTGGTAACCCACAGCTTTGGTGCTATCCCATGAGTCTTTGTACAGTTTCTGGGGGAAAGAATATGAATGTTTATAACAATAGACATCAAACTTGTATTACCAGCTAATTTGTTATACTGACATTAAACTTACATCACTGGCAAGTATGGCCATCTCTTTGGAGTGGGTGATCTGAGGTGTTTCAGCAGCACCGATGTAGTGGCCTTTTTCAGCGTTAAAGGTTTCTTTGTATCTCAGCTAAAGAGAAGAAAAAAAAGCAATGCATAAGTAAGCCATACTTCATGCTGTAAGTAAAACATACTTTATTAAAATACATTAAAGTGTATCTATAATCAAGCACAACAATGTATGTACTGCAGTTTACAAGTCCTTGGAGAAGTTGTCAGTAACACACTTCCTATCCTAGGATTCCAGTGCTCACATACTGTACTGTAGCTATTGAGAAGCAGTGTTGCCACCCTAGGACAGGAAGTAGGACTACACTGCACCCTCTCTCCCCTTCTTCATAGCATAGACAGGAGATGTTAGGCAGTCCTAACACACTTCTTGATAGCATTGTTTGGGATAAGAATGCAAAGTGCACAGGACAGAACTGCATCTTGGGCATATTTAACAGGCATTTTTTACACTTTTTGTAAAAAAAAAAGCAAAAACAAAACGTTTTGTATATTAAACAGATCAAAAGGAATTAAACAAATGTTATGGTTTAAATACACTTTCATTTATGAACATCTAGACAGTGGGGTTAATTTACTAAGTGAGTTGAGAAACTTCACCTAATAAACGGAATGAAATTGCACTTCAATTATTCAATCATGTGAAAAGCAAATTCCTGTTTACTTGTTTTATCTGCAGATTATTAGGTATTCCAAATGTGTGAAAATTCTCAGCACCTTTAGTAAAGCGGCCTCTTTATTTAACTGGTGTAACAGCTGTAGTGTAATAATATTTTAAGAATAATGTTTTTAGAGACACTAAAACCATAAAGCAAAGTTGCCTCCTTTTTAGGGAGAATTTCTTCACAGCCCAATCTAGCTTCTACAAACTGGGACTGATGTTTAATATGGAGATCATACTGCACTTCCGATAGGCAGTCAGCACATGCATGGACACTACAAACTGCATCCATTCATCTGATTCTCTACAATCTCAAATAAACAGTGAGGTTCCTTTTACTGAAGAAGCAGAGAATGTTCACCTAGCTTAAAACGGAGCTCCAGTCAAATTGAAAAAAAAAAAACCTTTAAAAAAACAGACTCTTATCTGTCTCTTGGTCCAGCGGTGTTCTCACCACAGCCAGGTTCACCGGCCTTCCTTGCTCCTCAGCGCCAGCATCTTCAGTTTGAGCATCTGGCTGTGACAGCTGGCAGCTTTACAGCTGGGTGCCCACTGCGCATGTGCGAGTAGCGCTGCACTTTGTGAATGGTCCTGTAGTCTTCTGAGACCTGTCATCTGTCCCAGAAGACTACGGGGAAGGAGGGGAGGAGGACAACTTCCGCTTCCGATTGCTTAGGCGATCACAGCGGATGTAGGAAATTTGGGCAAACCCCCCCCCCCCCCCCCCGTTCCCCAAAGGTCCCAATACTTAATGGGGACGAAGCCTTAAAGGGAACTTCCCCTTTTGGGGGAAAATGTAAATGTACTGAATATCAAATCATGTACATTAATTAAACAGAAGGAGATTTTGACTTGCACATGACTGAGTGATTGAAGTGAACACAGTTTAAACATATTTGCTAGGTAAACATTTACTACTCTTTTAATAAATCAGCCACCATGACTTATATTATTTCTCTACAGGCCTAGGAGGAAAACAGTCACATAACTATGAATGACCAAATACACTGGAACTACCTTTCTACTCTGTCACATAATTTCCTTTTTATTTTAAGATAAGATAATACTTTATTGTTATTGTATACATAAAACAAGATTTCTGTAAACAGGCTCCCATTATATTGAAGCGTTAGGGTAACACAAGGTAAAAAATCCAGGTTACCATAACGCACAGCAAGGTCCAAACCACAGTATGTTACAGTTTTGAATTGCTCCTAAATGCATTGGCAAAGTAGCAGGCAACACCCTCACAATGCCATGCACCCCAAAGCGCATGCTGCATGTCGCATTAAAGCTCAACTGAACCTTTTGCTTAAATCAGCTAAATACTTTCCAGCTGCATCAAAACAATATGTTACAGCTTTTTAAAGCCACACCATGAGTAGAAAAGCCTATCAATAGGCAACAGCTGCAGAGTGGGACCCTTGCTCTCTTTGGTGTATCAGTAGGTTCACTGCAATCAGCAAAGCTCAATCTCCTTGCTGTATGGGGAGTTCTGGTTCTGACACAGCAGGGGACATGTCAAAGCTATTAAAAGAGGCCACTGCTTCCACACAGAGAACAAGGGTCCCACTCTGCAGCATGCTTGCCAGGGACAGGCTTGTACAGTCAAGCAGTTGCTGTTGCTGAAGAAAATACATTGGAATTTATTTACTAAAACTGGAAAGTGCAAAATCTGGTACAGTAATCAGCTTCTAGGTTTGTCCAGTTTTTTTTTTTTTTTTTTAGTCAAAGCCGAACAAGCTGAAGTTAGAAGCTGATCGGCTATAATGCACATCTGCACCAGATGTTGCACTCTCTTGTTTTAGTAAATCAACCCCATTGCATGCTTTAAACTAACTTAAACTGAAAGCTCTATTGGGCTTTAAGAAAAAGGTGCATTTATGATATTTATTGAGTTAAGGTGCACTGCCATGTGCTGCCTTAGTACACCTTAATGCATGGTAAAAGGGTTGCGATAACATAGCTGCATTAACACACAATTTATAGTGTGAAGAAGGTCTTAGTTCACACTATTTCACCATTAACTTTCAACTATAACCACCCTTGGGCTGAAAGTGGTCAGCCCACCACAGTTTAAATTCAATAACTAAAATAATAATCTTTGATATTTTATGCAGTATTGAATTATTTAAAATACTTCAGTGGGTGATAACAGTTAGTGGAATAGAAATAAGCGAGCGCCAATACTAATTAGCAGCTGATACACAGTTGCTACACAGATTTTCAGCAATCATCTTTCATGTCAATAGTCATTTAGGGCTGGGAAAAAGATGAGAAGAAATTTCTATGGAGCAAAAAATTGCTTCTACGAGTTAGTTTGTTTTGTTTGTTGGTTTATCCAGTGTGCTGTGATAAATATTATTGATCAAGTTGTTGTATATAAGACTTCATTTACATTTTTTTCTACTACAAAATATATATGTGAGGATTATGAAACTACAAAATTAGTGTTAACTGTGCATGTAAACCAAAAATCTGTTTTTCAGTATGCTTGGTATCATGTCTGTCTGTATACAGTTTACTAGGCAAATTGTTTTTATCAATCTGTAGAAAAGTTTCATCACTGGAGTTCCGGCCAGTAACAGAATTTCCTGTTGCAGGCTGAGATAGTTAAGTGGAAGCTTTGAAATTAGCAGCAGCGTTGTCAGCCTGCAATGTGCACTGTTCAATGGGTTGTTTGGATTCCTACCTCACATACCTGATAGGCAGTAGTATGGCCAGCTGAAGAAGCACATACAGCAGGTTAACAATGCTTCTAATAATTTAAAGGCAACAGGTTAACAATGTCAGGATTTCTAGATTTAAAAAAAGTCGCAAAAAATAATTAGCTTAGGGAAACTGTGTAAAGGGAGACATGATGCTAAAATGATGTTATAAGATTTTAGGTTTACATACATTTAAAACATGTGCCCCAGAGCAGCATATCCAATAGTCAATTAGTTTAGTTGAGTGAATCAATAAAATGCAAACTCAGATACAATGGTACCACTAATGCAAGAAACCACAAAAAACAAATTAATAGTCTTTAGACCTATGATTTCAGTGATCCATAGTAAATAATTGACATTCCATCAAATACTGGTTCATGTGAAAAAATAGCTACTTCCATTTTAAGTAAATATATGCTTACATCACTTTGGTTGATGGCATTGGCCTTGGCAAGCACGATTTCAGGTGTATCAACCACATGGCTGAACTTTTCAAAGTTGTCAATGGCATCCTTTTTGTAGGCTCTCTGCAAAGAAAATAAGGAATATGTTACTTCATTTATTGTTGCCTTTAATTTTTAGTTGTCGTAAGTCACATACTTTCTTTTTAGAACCTTTAAATGAATAGGGAGGTGCTTTCAATTGACTTGTAGGTTCTGGAACATCACACTACATGCACATCATGTTACAATATGAAGACATATGAAAACCACAAACTCTAAAGCCCAAACATACCCTTCATACTCCACAACGGAATAATGGTAATTTAGACAGACCTGGTTAATCAGCTGTTGAGCCTTCCTCACTTTATGGTGCTCCACAGAATCCAGAGGAACCCATCCACAACCACGAATCCATTCCAGGTCAGCTTTGTATACGGCCTAAAATGACAAATTTTTCCATTAGTGGTCAGTTTGTATTGAATTGTTGCAGATTAGGACTACACCTCAATCACTCACATCACTCTGTAGGTCATAGGCCTTCCTGGCCTGTATGCAGTCATTCTGGTCAGGGTGGCATGTCCATTTGTGAAGATAGGTGCGGTAATCAATATCACTGGCCAAGCCCTGTCCAATTTTGGCTTGTTCCAGATGTACCATGTCAGCAGGGATATGAATCTTGGACTTCAACTTTTCATACAGCTTCTTGTATTCTCTGTCATTCTGAATAATGTTGACATGCTTGAACCACTTAAGCTTAGGATCAGCATTTGCATTAGGAACTCCAACATAGTGGCCTCGTTGTTTGATGTAGTCAGCTTTGTATTTAATCTATATAGTGGAAACATAACACTGTACGTTTGATTCTGATTATATGACATCATATACAGTATTTGTATAATTTGTTGCCTACAATGATGGGCATAATCAACAAAGAGCCCCTGTGTTAAAAATTCCCATCTTCCCTCTATTAACTCCCAAGTAAAAACATAATCTTGATATAGCAAAACTAGATAATGGATGGGGCATCATGAAGAATGTTTTCCACTTCTCACCTACCATGCCCCTAAATCCCAGAGGGCCACAGTCTGTACAGATGGTACACGTACCCCTGGTATCCACTCTGTGCTATTGTTAATAAAACTCCTTTTATATTTACAGTCAGATATGGATTTCTAAAATAAAACCAAGTATGGATTTTTTTTTTCATCATAGCAACAATAGGGACATTCAGTACACTGTTTATTTACAAATCTTCCATCAGACATGGAATTTCCTTCTCATGTGATTGACCTACTGCTTTTCTTAATAGCCCTTATAATATTACAGCACTATACTGATCAGTGATTATAGTAGGTGGATCATCTGACTCAAGATGTGACTACAGGAAGGTCATGGAATTCATGTGTTCGAAACAGCAACAGGTTGGACTCTCTAATGAAGTGTGCTAAAATACTTGCTCTGTTTTGCAAGAAAACTGAGTTTTCTTTTCTAAAGTGGAATTACACTTAGCTATAAAAACAAAAAGGGAGAATGACTAAATCTCATATTTTTATTTTTAAACTGGGAACAAAAGGCCAATTTGGACTAAATGGGTTTTGCTCATACTCTCCTAAAAGTAACTGCAGGAAAAAAAATATAAAAAAAAAAAAAACACGTGCACACAAATTAGGACTATAGCAATTCCCCAAAAATTGCAATATTATACTGTATGATGTCTAAATAATCTGCAGATATGATTACCTCACTCTGGGCAATACCACTCTTTTTGGCATGGGATATTTGAACAGCATCATGTGGCATAAAGTACCCGGTGGCTTTGATATTGTCCCAGCCTGATCTGTAGAGTTTCTAGAAAACAGAGATTCACAGTATAAGTGTTTTGCCTGAGCAAGACAGAAATCAATAGTAAAGTAATGCTACACAGAACACTGGTTAAAAACATAGCAATGAAACAAGAAACTGCTAGTATTTACATTTCTAGATTCTAAATGCAAATTCCTGTTGCTTCACAAACTGGGAGTCTAGGGATTGGCGGCAACTTGTGTGCAGAGCTTAATTACAATTTTTTTTGGAATACTTGGAAGTTTATTTAGAAGTCTTTCATAGTCTATGTGAAATTAAAAAAAACTAGGTGTGTCTTTTCCCTCTACTTATGTTTCAGATTACACTCAGCTCTGCACTGTGTAGTATGTGACATCACATCCTGCCCCTTGCCTTCTGGAGATAATAAAGACTGTGCAAACTCTATACTTTGATTGGCTGTGGAGAAAAGAGGCTGCAGAAAAACAAGTACAGCTTATGTAGGAGGATTTGCTTAATCAGCTAAGGTTAGTCACTTCAGTGAATATATGTAAGGGCTTATTATAACTTTATCTGTCTTTATATTATCTTTTTGCAGACAGCAGCAATCTCGGTACAGCAGCACTCTTTGTGTCTAGGGTCTAGGGCAATGGGACAACAGTCAGCGCCAGTCAGGGCTCTATTGCTTTGAAAAAGCTTGCTTAGATGAGGTCTGTGTAGTCTAAATGTGTGTGTGTGTGTGTGTGTGTGTGTGTGTGTGTGTGTGTATATATATATATATATATATATATATATATATATATATATATTTAAAAAAAAATTTCAGTACAGGGTTAAAAACGTAATCACAACACATAAGCATGGTAAACTGTATATTTGAAGATGCTAAAATACATACATCGTTGACATTCTTGGCTGCCTCTTTTGCTGTTAGCAGCAGAGGGGAGTCATTCACAACAGAGTACTTTGTCTTAATGTTGTTCCATGCTTCCTGATATTTAATCTGGGGGAAAATATAACAATGTAATAAATATTTTGGACATTAGCAGACATTAATACTGAAGGAAATTTGAAATCAGGAAACTAATACTACCATTTTTTTTTCTTAGCACTTAGACCCAAAGTATGTTTTTTTACAGCTTTCAGAGCTGGCCAGCATCATAAGTAATAGCACCCTAAACTCACTAGCATTTTAGATATCAAATCTAGCTTGCAACACAACCATTATACAATCAAATCTTTAAAAAATTTGGCAACATAATGTACAAAGAAATTACAGAGATATGAAAAAAAGAACTGCCCACCATATTGTGCTACATATATTATACGTGCATAAATGTGTATTAAAAAATAATGCACACTTTATATATAAGGGTGGGAGGGCGGGATACAACAGATGCCAAGTACAACAGCAAGTATTGTTTTACTGTAACAAATTTACTGTAACAACTTTAAATCGAACAAAGCAATAACACAGTATTTTCAACAGTAGCCCAAAACTCTCCAGCGGCAGAATGAAACAGAGATTTAAGCACTGGAAAAAACTTTTTTCAGTCTCTGGCATTAAATACTGCCCTTTGACCTAGCGGTTAATCATGTTATCACGAGAATGATCTCATTAGTAAAAATTGCCAATTTTTACTTAGCCTAAAGCTGGCCATACATGGATTGAAATTTGCTCAGTTCAGCAGGGACCGGCCAAATTTCAGTCCATGTATGAGCACTGTGGTTGTAGAGATGTCAATCTGCTGACTGACTTCTGTATAAACGCCCTGTCAGATTTTCCCCAATCGATCAGTGCTGCAGGCTATAGTCTACAACAATGCTAAGTGTTTTCTGATGGTTAAGGGAGTATTCCCTCTGTCAGAATACAATTGGATTCCTCCATCCACATCCACTAGTTGAATGAAAAAAACTGACACATCTTTGGACTACCTTAGAAAGGTTCTAATGGTGAAAACACTAATTTAATTATTGTTTTTTTAAGTCACCAAATCCATAAATACAATTTTTCCATTTTGAACAAGGTGACAGCCGTGTTGGGCCACAACATGGAAAATATGGAGATACCAGTGGTGAACTCAAATTATTTCCAAGTACAGTTGCAAGAAAAAGTATGTGAACCCCTTGGGATTACGTGGAGTTTTGCATGAATTGGGCATAAAATGTGCTCTGAACGTCATCTAAGTCACAACAATAGAAGAACACAGTCTGCTGAACATAATACTACACAAACATTAGATGTTGCCATGGTTTAATTGCACATAACATGTAAACATTCACAGTGCAGGGAGGAAAAAGTATTTGAACCTTTGGACTTAATAACTGGTTGACCCTCCTTTGGCAGCAATAACCTCAACCAAACGTTTCCTGTAGTTGCAGATCAGACCTGCACAATGATCTGGAGTAATTTTGGACCACTCCTCTTCACAAAACTGTTTCAGTGTAGCAATATTCTTGGGATGTCTGGTGTGAATCGCTCTCTTAAGGTCATGCCACAGCATTTCAATCGGGTTGAGGTCAGGACTCTGACTGGGCCACTCCAGAAGGCGTATTCTGTGCTGTTGCAGCCATTGTTTTGTTGAATTACTCGTATGCTTTGGGTCATTGTCCTGTTGCATCACCCATCCTCTGCGGAGCTTCAGTTGGCGGACAGATGGTCGTACGTTTTCCTGCAAAATGTCTTGATAAACTCTGGATTTCATTTTCCCATCAATGACAACAATCCGTCCAGGCCCTGAGGCAGCAAAGCAGCCCCAAACCATGATGCTCCCTCCGCCATGTTTTACAGTGGGGATGAGGTTTTGATGTTGGTGTGCTGTGCCTTTTTTTCTCCACACATAGTGTTGTGTGTTCTTCCCAAACAACTCAATCTTGGTTTCATCTGTCCACAGTATATTTTGCCAGTAGTGCTGTGGAACATCCAGGTGCTCTTTTGCAAACTTCAAACGTGCTGCAATATTCTTTTTGGACAGCAATGGCTTCCTCCATGGTGTCCTCCCATGTACTCCATTCTTGTTTAATGTTTTCCTTATTGTAGATGTGTCAACAAAAATGTTAGCATGTGCCAGAGATTTCTGTAGGTCTTTAGCTGACACTCTGGGATTCTTCTTTACCTCATGCAGCATTCTGCGCTGTGCTCTTGCAGTCATTTTTACAGGACGACCACGCCTAGGGAGAGTAGCAACAGTGCTAAACTTTCTCCATTTGTAGACAGTCTGTCTTACCGTGGACACATGAACATCAAGGCTTTTGGAGATACTTTTGTAACCCTTTCCAGCTTCATGCAAGTCAACAATTCTTGATCGTAGGTCTTCTGAGAGCTCTTTTCTGCAAGGCATGGTTCATATCAGACAGTGCTTCTTGAAACCAGTAAACCCAAAACAGGTGTATGTTTTTTAAGGGCAGGACAGCTGTCAGCAACACATCCAATATCATCACACTGATTGGAGTCAAGGTTGGCTCACTCCTGGCTCCAATTAGCTCTGGGAGAAGTCGTTAAGCTAGGGCCTCACATACTTTTTCCTCCCTGCACTGTGAATGTTTACATGTTATGTGCAATTAAACCATGGCAACATCTAATGTTTGCGTAGTATTATGTTCAGCAGACTGTGTTCTTCTATTGTTGTGACTTGACGTTCAGAGCACATTTTATGCCCAATTAATGCAGAACTCCACGTAATCCCAAGGGGTTCACATACTTTTTCTTGCAACTGTAAATGACAAAACTGCTTATTGACTGCTGGGGAAATAGGATCTTATCTGTGAGAAATACTTACATCACTGCGAATATCTGCAGCTTGTTTGGCAGTGACATAATCCACTCTGTCAGCGACTGCAGTAAAGCTGAGAGTTTCAGGTTTGGTTTTATACTTCCTCTACAAAAGAGAAAATATGTCATCAATGTGTCTTTCTACAGACATTATGTGTAATATCAATTAAAGAGCAAAAAATATACATCGCTCAAGATGTCCTGTGCAAACTTAGCCTTCTTGACATCATGTGATTCATTTGGCATCCATCCGATACCACGAAGCCACTCAAGATCTGACTTGTAGATTGCCTAAGGGCAAAAAAAAGTTCAGTTAGAGATAACACCAGACTTTTACACCCAGTCTCCAAAATCTGCTAAAGATAAATATGTATCTGTTTACACAAACTTACATCACTCTGAAGATTATAGGCTTTCCTAGCCTGGATGACATCATTCTGATCTGGTAGGCATGTCCATTGGTGCAGATAATGGCGGTAGTCAATTTCACTGACCAGTTTCTGGCACAACTTAGCAGCAACAACCGAGACCATATCTACAGGCAGGTTCACTTTTGTCTTTGTCTTCTCAAAGTTTTTCTTGTATATAAGGTCACTGGGAAGCTTAGATGCCTTCATGTACCAAGCCAATTTGTTGTCATCATGAGCTGTGGGTGTTCCAATGTAGTGACCTTTCTGCTTCTCGTGGGTCAACTTGTATTTGTACTGTGGATTGTAACAATATAAAATCAAATATTGTGTTCTATTATTTATACACTACTTCAATACATTGATCTTATTGGGATCAACATCTTATCATTAAAGAATGATGTACTAAAGTAAACTTTCATGCTCTAGCTAAAGCATATAAAATAAAAATAATTATAAAACTGCTAGAACACACATTTGCAAAATTTACGATAAATAGTTGGTTAGCTGATCCAAAATAGAGGGTGAATAGGGAATGCATCAGACCAAAGTTGGTGGCGGGCAAAACCACAAGAAATTGACTTGGTGTTTTTGAATTCTCATAGGTAGTACTTGGAGTTGGCACAACCTGGTCTGAAGAAGACTGCATGAGTTTGAATTTAGACCACTGAATAGAACATTTCAAACATATTTTTTTTTAAAGTTTATAGTTTATCACATCACTCTGTACATTTTGTTTCATGTCTTATATTTTTGCAAATTCCTACATACATTTTTTAAGGCATTTGTTGAGGAAATCAGTATGGTAATATTGTGCTATTAATATATCAATGCCTTATTCTTCCTTGGCAACCTTCCTGTCTTTAGACACTGCTCTACACCTCCACCTCTACCGTACAAAAAAAGCACATTTGCATTTCCCTCTTTATTTAATCTATCTCTGTATCATATTGCTGGTGTGTTACTGTTTTTACCATTCCATTATTGTAACAGCAGTCTGCAAGAAATGCATTAAGACAGGTGACTTTAAAGGGGATCTATATTGCTTTTGGGTATTTGTTTTCTAGGTTTCTTCTTCAAGTTTTAATTCTATACATTTTAAACCAAGCTGTTGCCATATAGCTGTTGTTTTTGCTATCTATATATGCACGGCATGTTATACAAAGACCATCAAATACATTATTTAAAAATATATAATGCAACAGTAGCTGCCTGCCTTTAGCTTTGCTTTGTCTGAATGAAACTCTGAACTGAGCTAATGGTATGAGTCATGCACTACGGTGTGTAAGTTTTGGCCTGTAAACAGCAGACATTACAGCAAGGTGTGAGCCTGTAAAAATATAAAAATGAGCCTAAAGTTTCACATGTTTTCTCAAAAACAGATTGCAAATTATTACTAACAAGGGAAAAACATTATTAAAAAAGGTACATTTTTAGTCCTGAACATTATTAAAAATGTAAAATTTTTAGTCCTGGACCACAAAAAAAAAAATTAAGAAAGCAATGATGTACAAAAAAACTATGCATTTCTGTTAAATATACGGTAATTTGGAATACTCACATCACTTGCAATCTCTCTAGAGGCCTTAGCTGCCTTGATGGATATAGCATCAGCTTTAATGTCGTAGATCATCTTCACTTTATCCCAGCTATCTCTGTACAATTTCTAGAAAAGAAAAACATAATCAATTTCAACTTTATGACACATACAGACTTTTTGAAAAGGTATTATATTCGCAAGACTTTAGAAAATGTATAACCACTTACATTGCTGACATTAGCAGCATTGGCCCTTGACAACATAATCTCAGGTGTGTCTGGCATAACATGAATGGTTCTCTTGTCTTGTTCCCAAGCTTCTTTGTATTTGGACTTTAAAACAAGAAATGTTTGTGATTATAAGCCTGGTAATTTGACTATTTAACTTTAGAATTATCATGTTATAGACAAAATTGTGGACATACAGAGCTGATCTGGTCAGCATTGGTCTTTGCCAGGACAATAGCTGGAGGGTCCACGATGCTGGTAAATTTATTGTTGCTGGCCGGCTGGCGATAATGACGTTCGCTTAAGATGTCTTGGGCATTCTTCACTTTCTTAACTTCCACCGAGTCGTTAGGGAACCAGCCACACCCGCGGATCCATTCCAGATCAGACTTGTAGATGGCCTAGAAAAATTAACAGTGATGGCAAAAGATTCTAGCACTAGATCTGATTGCTGTGGTCACATGATAATGGTACCACAACTACAAAAAAGGGCATTTGGCTGACCAAAACATATGCAAGTCATAATAACAGGAATATATATACAGTATATATATATCTCCTAGATTGTAAGCTCGAAAGAGCAGGGCCCTTGAACCCCTCGTGTATTGTTTTGTTACTGTATTGTCTCATGTTCTGTTCCCCACTATAATGTACAGCGCTGAGCAAACCTTTTGGCGCTATATAAATACTGTATAATAATATAATATATATAGCCTCAAAAACATAGTGAAATGCCTAACTCAGAAGCCACTTTCAAACATCCAGGCTACATAATGATTCTGTGCTGACTTCACTTGCCAGAAAGTAAAAATAGCATCATTGCTTTGAGGCTAACCTATGAGGTATACCTTAGAGAAGAGTTGCGTTCATCAAATGTTTCTGTGGCAGGTATTTTGCTTGGACAAATTTCATTTAAAGTACATCTAAGGGCTCCTGTGTGACAGTCTAAACAAGTCCAGTTAATATGTAATGCACAAGTTCATAAAGTAGAAAAAACTTCTTCTACCTCCCCTGAGTGATCTGAGTAATCCCTTTGGTCCATGCATACTCCCCCTCCCAGACACTGCACCTCACAGTGAGAGGGTTTTAGCAGCAAAGGCACTGCTGTCAATTTAAAAAGCAGTGGCCTGAGCTACGTGTGGCCAGGTCTTGACTGACAAGCTAGAGACTTATGAATCAGAAGTGTCGATGATCTGCACTTCGGAGAGCAATGCAACAGTGTTGTCTCCCCATCACAGGAAGCTGCATTATGGTGATTTAACTAACATAATCAATAGATATTTGTGAGACTTTACAGGGAGAATAATAGACATCGTAAGTGCAAATGCACTTGCAGTATAGAGATGTAGCAAATCATATGTTAATTGGGAGGCCTTAAAGAACAACTCCGGGACAAGTAAGCAAAATCACCCATTAGTAAACCCCCATCAAAAAACACTAAACAGTTAATACAATTTTGAAAATCCTTACCATTAAGGAGAAAAGTCTAATTTAATTTTCATAACCTCATCTCTGTAATCTACAAGATAACAGCATCTCGTCTGCTAAGGAGGAGGTGTAACAGCAGAGATTACATCATATCCTTTAGGCGCACCCTGAAAACCCATCTCTTTAGGGAAGCCTACCCCACCCCCTGCTAACTTGCCGACCTCCTCCACTCTTCCTACCACTCCATCCCCCACAGCTATCTCCTCCTGTGCCACCCCCCCCCTTCCTCCTAGATTGTAAGCTCGAAAGAGCAGGGCCCTTGATCCCCTCGTGTTTTGCATTGTATTGGTATTGTTCAGTCACATGTTCTGTCCCCCTTTGTAATGTACAGCGCTGAGCGAACTATTGGCGCTTTATAAATACTGTATAATAATAATAATAATATCCATTCCTTTCTCTCTGCGGTAAAAGGAAACTATAGTTCCCATCAACCACAGGGAATTGTAATGAATGTGGGCGGGTACACTACGTCTGTACATGTTGAATGTCTCTGAGAGTCTCAGTCTGCTCACCACTGCAAGTGGGACTGAATTAGATCACTGCTTCCCAGAGTAAGAACTACAGAAGGGATGTAACAAGACCAGTGGCTGGGGGAATAGGAGGCATTGCAGCCACCGGTTTTACAAACAGGAAACCAAAGAGAATTAATAGTTTAATTTGAAAATGAATAGGCTATTTCAGAGCAACTAATGAGTGAACCAGAAAATGGATGGCATTCAGTGAAGGTAGAAAATCAGCAACAATGACATGTAAATAATTTTTCCCCAGAGTTTTGCTTTAAGTTCTACTTAATTCTGATACAGATGGTTCTGATTGTAAAAGTAATTTTATGTCGGAGGGGACTTTACTGAAATTTTGTTTTTTATATACCAGTAGCATTGATGGTTTAAGAAATTTCATAAACTTCTGTAGGTCTTTTGAGTACAGTATTGCCACCCTGCCATAATTTAGATAGTGATTCATATACTCACATCACTCTGCAAATCATAGGCTTTCCTAGCCTGAATACAATCATTCTGGTCAGGGTGACAGGTCCATTGGTGCAGGTAATGACGGTAGTCAATTTCACTGGCAGCTGCCTGGACTTGTTTGGCAGTTTGGATGGACACTGCATCCGCTGGTATGTGAACCTTGGTCTTGGTCTTTTCATAATCTTTTTTGTAGATCCTGTCAATTGGGAGTTTACCAGAGTGGATCAACCACATCAGTTTAGGATCATCCTTGGCAGTTTTGGTCCCAATGTAGTGACCTCTCTGCTTCTCATATGCAGTCTTGTATTTGTACTGCAAAAAATAAATATATTTAAATATCACTATGGCAAAATGTTGGGGCTACTTCAACAAAGCAATGCAAAAATGCAGATGAAGGTGCAAAGAAACTTTACGCAAAGCAACCACACAAAATCCAGTTTTTTTAAGTCATTATAAAGATTAATTCGGAGTTGCTACTATGTTCATACATAAATTTGTGATGTGTAGGCAGTTTTTTACAGTGATCTATAGAAGTTACAATATTCTCAGTTAATGTTACAAAAACCACTAAAAAGGTATATAAATAATCTACAATTCCTGGCTGCTTTTGGAACAATGTGCTACAGTTACAGATTTCACTGCTTTGGCACCTGCTTGTAAAATCTAGTATTACAGAATGCCACAAACCACTGATTGTTGTGGTTTTATATTAGAAACACAGTATTTCACTAGTTTGACTTCAGACAACAAGGTAAGCAACAGAAGGACGAGGGTCTTGAGCTGTTTTTTTCTATATACAGTATCTTGGTATATCTAGTATATTGTTTACATTGACACTGACACAAGCAAAATAAATTGTCTTGGCAAATGTAAGAATGATCCTTACGTTACTAGCAATGTCTCTTGAAGCCCGAGCGCTGCGAACAGGGATGGCATCTGCTCTTAAGTCATAATTCATTTTGGTTTTATCCCAATCTTTCCTGTAGAGTTTCTGGAAAGTGCAAGGAAAAAAAAAAAACACTTAATATTCACTATCTATTTTTAATCAATGAGCAAGTGAATAACAGATGAAAGTTCAATAGCATTTAACTTATAATATATTAGGATCTGTTTCCAAAATTCTCGGTGGAAGTTTTGTAAAAAGGAGAAAAAAATAATTTATAGGGTTAGCTTAAAAAAAAAATACTTGTATAAATTAAAGTGTACCTTAACCACTTCCTGTCCGGACACTTTTACCCCCTTCCTGTCCAGGGCAATTTTCAGCTTTCAGCGCTATCACACTTTGAATGACAATTGCGCGGTCATGCAATACTGTACCCATATGAATTTTTTACCATTTTTTTGAGACAGATAAAGCTTTATTTTGGTGGTATTTATTCACCGCTGGGATTTTTATTTTTTTTACTATGTAAATGAAAAAGTCCAAAAATTTTGAAAAAAAGTGTTTTTTTTTAAATAAAATTTTGCAAATAAATAATATTTCATCATAAATCTTGGCCAAAATTTATTCCGTTATTTTTTTAGTAAAAAAAAAAAAATCCAAATTAGTTTATAACCAAAAATTATAATTTTTAAACATTTTTTTTTACATTTTTATTTTATTTTTTTTTATATTATTATTTTTTATTTTTATTTTATTTTTTACATACTGTCACCCTAGCAGTACAGTGTCACCATGGTAACACTGTACTATTTGTGAGGGGTGATGAAGATTTTTTTTTTTTTTTTTTTACACTGATTGCTTTTACACCCATATAGGATGTAAGAGCAATCATTTATCTTTCTCTCTGTCTGCATTCTTGCAGTCATTGAGAAGTACTGAGTGAGCTGTGATTGGTCACAGCTTGTCACATGGTACAAGGCTGTTGTGAATAGCCTTGTACCATGTGACCTCTGTGATCATTCAGAGATTTCACACGTAGTAAGCAATGATGTCACAAGTGACATCTTGCTTACTACTTTGCATGTGATCACTGATTCGCCAATCAGTGATCACATGATCGGGACCTCGTACAGAGGTCCCGTCCGACGATCGGTGTTTCACTGTGTCCGGAGGACACAGCGGGCACCGGATCGCGGTGGTGCCTGCTCCCAGGGAGCGCGCACAGCTAGAAAAGGCGGGTGCCGTTTAGGAACGGCAACCCGCCCCTGGACTCCCACCGCCCTGCCGTTTATAAACAGCAGGTGGACGGCAAGAAGTTAAACCAAAAAAATGTTTTATTTTAGTTTTGGATAGGGCGGTTATGAACTTAAAACCCCTGTCATGTTTTTATTGCTGTCTGTGTTCCCATTACTTTTTCCCAATTGCACATACACAAAGAAAAACTGAAGGGAATCCGATCCAAAATGAAAAAAAGGTTTGGCTTTAGGTACATGTTAACTATTTTTTGTAGTTCTTTGATCGTCAGCAAGTTTCACCACTTAATTCTAATATAACCCAGGACTTTCCTGAAAGCATTAGAAAGGGTACGTGCAAGCAAACACAAGGAAATTTTTGGAAAGAGGGGTGAATAAACAGGGCTTCCAGGACTTAAGGTCAGGTAGACATATTAAAGCATTTCTTTAAACTGGCTATACTGTGTCCGCAGAAAAAACTTTCCCTTGCAACAAGCAGAAAATTTGCATTGGCATAGCTAAGAGCTAGGGGGGATTCTAGTGTCATAATCAATCAAGGAAAACATGGCATTTTTACAAAAAAGGTGAATAGCTTAGATATTGTACAGTAGTTTTATCATTTTTTTTCTATTGCACTTTTGTGAATCAAAACCATTTTTTGCAATGCATATGTTTGATAATAAAGCAGAAAAATAACAATGTCAGCAACAAATTTTAGACTTACTTCACTGACGTTGACAGCGTTGACTTTGGACTGTACCATCCCTGGAGTGTCTGCTGGGAGGCTGAACTTAGTCTTTTCATGATCCCATGCATCTCTATACACCCGCTACAAAGAAAGGAAAATTTGAAATAATACATTTCGGATCAACAACAAATACTGCAATACTACAATATTACTGCACTGATAGGAATACTAATGCTGCTGGATAAAGATAATTGCAGCTTCACAGTCATAACAGAACAAAAGCATTTTTACATCTTAATGTGTTCGTACTTTAGAAATCTGTCACCAGAAAAAGGCAGAAGTTGGCTAAATATATAATGTATTGTGATAAATTTACCTAGATAAACAGTATTAGAATATAAGACTAGGTTCGACCTAATGGACTTTTCTCAACCTTTCTTAACAATATACTCACATCACTAATCTGGAGAGCATTGGTTTTGGCTAGAAGGATTCCTGGAGCATCAACAATGCTGGTGAATTTAATGGAGTCAGGAGCCTGGCGATAGTGGCGTTCACTTAGGATCTCCTGAGCTTTCTTCACTTTGTTCACCTCCAGAGAGCCATTAGGAATCCAGCCGCAACCACGAATCCATTCCAAGTCAGACTTGTATATCCACTGGGAACAAAATGACACCAAGAAATTAATCAGTGATGACAGTGGAGTAATACTTTACAAGCCTGCCCATTAGACCTTCAAAAAGTCAACTTTATGGTTATTTATATGTGAAACAACCAGACATATTCTATATCAGTTACATACACCTGATATCAATGATATTTATCTAAATATTTTAAAATGGTTTACCCTAAAAAACCTATTTAAAACCTTTCAATGTTTTGTGTTTGCTAAAGACTGAAATTAATTACTCTCACATTTAATGATGTGGAAAGAGTTACAGAAAAATTTACTTACATCACTGCGCAAGTCATAGGCTTTCTTGGCCTGGATAACATCATTCTGGTCTGGCAAACATGTCCATTGGTGGAGGTAGTGGCGGTAGTTAATGTCGCTAACTAATTTCTGGCAGTTCTTGGCCAGAAGCACTGAGAGCATTTCAACAGGAGTTTGATAATGGGTCTTTTGTTTCTCAAATTCCTTCTTGTACACCCGGTCACTCTGGATTTTAGCAACATGTAAGGCCCACACCAACTTAGGATCGTCCTTTATGCTTCTAAAGCCAACATGATGTCCTTGCTGCTTGCGATATCCAATCTTGTATTTGTACTAGAGTGATACAAACATAACAATTTTCTTTCACGTTTATTCACCACATTGCAAAGTTTACCATAGATGAATAAACTCCATTTGTAAAACTCACATCACTAGCGATGTCTCTTGATGCTCTGGCAGACTTGATTGGAATAGCATCTGCTCTTAAATCATAGCCCTTCTTCTTTGCCTTTTCCCAGCCCAGCTGGTATTGTTTCTGTAATGTAAAATGTTGTTTAGTTTCAACTATTCAAATATAGTGATAGTATATTAGCCATCGGTCTACTCAATTTAGGACTTTTAATATATCCTCCTTATCTGAAAAAGATCACCTCCTTAAATCACTGCAAACAGCTGTTTATGAATTGCAGATTTTTTATAAGATGTCCTCCACTACAAGGACAATACTTAAACTGCCAAAATATAGAGCCTACAACTGCACCACACCAGCTTCATCGAGGAATTCTTTATAAGACCTCCGTTCAGTTTGTTTGCAGATGTTTGTCTAACATGTTATAGGGCAAGTGCAAAATCTGAACAAAGGATTGCATAACCAATACTGAAATAATGTTAAGCCATTAAATAACCATTAAATAACACGAAGAAGAATTTCCTTTTTTGATAAAAATATCTATGTAAGGTGAACACAGTTACTTAACCACTTCAAGTCCGGACACTTTCACCCCCTTCCTATCCAGGCCAATTTTCAGCTTTCAGCACTGTCACACTTTGAATGACAATTGCGCGGTCATGCAACATGTACCCATATGAATTTTTAAAAAAAATTTTGAGACATATAACACTTTATTTTGGTGGTATTTATTCACCACTGGGATTTTTATTTTTTTTTGCTATATAAATTAAAAAGTCCAAACATTTTGAAAAAAAGTGTTTTTCTTATAAAATTTAGCAAATAAATAATCTTTCTTAATAAATCTTGGACAAAATTTATTCAGCTATCTTTTTAGTAAAAAAAAATAACCCAAATTAGTTTATAACCAACAATTGTAATTTTTTTTACATTTTTATTTTACTTTTTTATATTATTATTTATGTTTTTTTTTTTTTAACATACTGTCACCCTAGCAGTACAATGTCACCATATTGACATAGTGACACTGTACTAATTGTAGGGGGTGATGAAGATTTTTTTTGTTTTTGTTTTTATTTTTACACTGATTGCTTTTACACCCACAAAGGCTGTAAAAGCAATAATTTCTCCTTCTCTCTGACTGCATTCTTGCAGCCATTGAGAAATACTGTGAGAGCTGTGATTGGTCACAGCTTGTCACATGGTACAAGGCTGTTGTGAATAGCCTTGTACCATGTGACCTCTGTGATCTTTCATAGATTTCACTAGTAGTAAGCAATGATGTCAGGAAGTGACATCTTGCTTACTACTATTCATGTGATCACTGATTGGCCAATCAGTGATCACATGATCGGGACCTCACACTGAGGTTCTGTACAGCGGCACACAGTGGGAACTGGATCGCGGTGCCATGCGCTCCCAGGGAGCGCGCACAGGCTAGAATGGTGGGTGCCGTTTATGAATGGCAACCCGCTCCTACAATGCTCCCGTCTGACCGTTTATATACATGGGCCGGACGGGAAGTGGTTAAACACTGAAAATTGCAAAAACACCTATAAAATACAGTTACAGGTACAAGCAACCCTTATTTACTTGAATAATATTTCCTTCACAAGCAAGCCTTCTGGATACTTAAAATATGTATATCTAAAGTTAAAATGAAATTTCTATGCATTTCAAATAGAGTAGAGAAGTGTTAAAATATTTTTCCTTTTCAAAGTTAGGTAAGTCCCATTTTACAAAGCTGTCACCAAAACCAGTGTACCCATGGGAAGATTTCTGCTCTTAATTGCTAATTTTATGTCTGTTAAGTATACATTTTAAAGCATTGTTGTTACATTTATTTAATAAGTGACAAAAATAACCTGTTGATCATGTCAGAAATTCAGAATTGGCCTGTGTCCTGTCCACACTTCTTCAGCTATCTCAAGGAGCCCTCCTAGCCCTCTTAGTTGTAACTTCGGACTACAGAATAATTAGGGGTTGATTTAATAAAACTGGAGAGTGCAAAATCTGGTGCAGCTGTGCATGGTAGCCAATCAGCTTCTAACTTCAGCTTGTTCAATTACGTTTTGACAAAAATACTGGAAGTTGATTGGTTTCTATGCAGAGCTGCACCAGATTTTGCACTCTCAGTTTTAGTAAAATAATCCCTTAGTGTCTATGTCATAGTGCTGAGGAGAGTGATAAGAAATGCACGACTTAGCAAAAAAACAACTGGGCAGGGCCGCTGTGTGCTGTCAGCCCACAATAGCAAATTAAGAGCCCAGTGCATTTCTGGCAGATCAATAGGTATTTTACTGTCCTTGAAGAGTCTTTAAAGTGATCAAACAAGGGGAAATGTGCATGTATTACAGACAAGTGCTGGATGTTAATTCAGCCTTGACATACTGTACACTATAAAGGATAAAAAAATAAAAAAGGGATATGAAGGAAAGAGAAATGCATAGCAGATACTGTATGTAAAGTAGTTATATTTGGGTCCCCTGACTTTATGGGTTTTGTAACAGTTGTGCCTTATGTACACTACATAGAAAAAAAAAAAGTTGGAGAGATGAGGAGCTTCAAAGAGTGAATTACAAATGATCATAGACCAAGAGATCTGAAAACTGTGCAGTCAGTGTAGAATGCTTACATTGCTGATGTTGACTGCATTGATCTTGGACTGTACCATCTCTGGGGTGTCAGCAGGCAGATGGAACTTGGTCTTCTCCTTGTTCCAAGCATCATGGTAAATGCTCTAGTTGTAAGATATAAAAGAAAGTAATCAATTGGAGTATTTTGCTAAGATACAGAAAAATAAACTTTGGACAATTGGAGATCTTACACTGCTGAGCTGCAGCGCGTTATTCTTTGACAAAACCACCTCTGGAGAGTCAACAACACTTGTGAATTTAATGGTGTCCGGATGCTGGCGATAACGACGTTCACTTATGATTTCCTGAGCTTTCTTTACTTTGTTCACTTCCAAGGAGTCATTAGGAATCCATCCACAACCACGGATCCATTCCATGTCAGATTTATATAGCCACTGAAAATAAAAATATAATATTCCTAAATATAAATTTAATAAACCTGTAAATAATATTAAAAATCAACTTTAAACTGCGCTCCTGGCAAAATATAGTTAAAGTGGTTGTAAACCTTAGACATGAAATATGAACAATGCATATGCCTCTACAGTGTATATTTGTCTCAGTTTGGAGCATTAAGAGTCATTTCTGTCTACTGCTTTGCTATCAGAAGAAGTCACTTCTGACAGGTTTTCCTGACACCAAGAGAAAAAATGTGACAGGGGAGGGACCTCTAGCAGATTGACAGCCTCAGCTCTGTTCCTGTGAGCTGTGTGGATGGGGGGGTTGTCTGTTCCCTCCAATCAGCTTTCAGAGCTCTCCTCACTAAACTCTGTAGAGTGTAAGGCCAGCTCCCTGCCCCCCTTATTTTCTTGAAGCTCAGACAAGATTTACAATTTAGCACTTGGATGTAAAGGAAAGAAGACTGCAGATAGACAGGTACAACTTATGTAGGAGGATTTGTTTCATCTCTGTGTATCTCCTGAGGCCAGTCACTTCACTGTGTTATAAGTAAGGGTTTACAACCACTTTAAGGCATTTATGTATTTGATAAAACATCAGTAATTGTATTTTGAATTCAACTAGTCAATTAATATGGTATCAGCCTCATAAAATACTCTATACAGCAGATTTCCGAATAGGGAAGACCCAGTCAGTTGAGTTGTATGAACATGTGCTGACAAGCAACATGCTGAAAGAAGAAAAGAGCAGGGAGATTAATACATCAGTGCACAATTGCTCCATCTGAGTCCAGTTTCAGGATGGGGGCAGGGAAGTGATCAAGCTGCATTGCATTACTGCAGTAGAAAAGTGTTAGGTCACCAGCCTTGCTGTGCTGTATGCTAGGTCCTGTAAATCTCAGGACTGGATGGACATTTGGCATGGAAACAGTACCCAATTTGTACATAAACTGTAATTAACAGCTTTCCTGGAGTTCAGATTTAATATAGTTGTATATTTTTAAATTGGTGTTTACTTTAGTTTTTGCAGTAAGTACAAAACAAAGTACAGCCATCAACATAACAGTGTGTCTAGTGACAACAGATTACACAAAGCCCAAGTAAAAACACAGTATGCAGAATATAGCATAAAAATTGATAATCAAGACAAGACATAACACCATATACAATCAAACTCATACACACACCCATACCCTGCAGTATACGTATTTATATATTGGTAGCTGCTTGTGCCACTTTCTGGTCTACCTATGGCCTGTATTCTCTGTCTAAAAGACCATATATATAGAACAGCAATATCTGGCAGCTACATTTAGGGGGCTATTTATAAACAATTGGTCTGCAAATGTCTCAATCATTTGCCCAGCCATCACACAAAATGCCTGTATTTGCCAAATATTTGCCTATAATTTCCTATATTCGTCAACTCCATCAAGTGGTCAGTCAGGAAAATACTGCATTATGGCCACTAGATTGAGCTGACGATCATAGGATATAAAGATATTAGGCAAAATACGGGTATTATTTGGGATGGCTATGCCAATTCTTTAAACATTCACACAGCATATTTTTAATAAATAGATCTCATAGAGCGTCTTCCATGGCACTGGTTCATGTACTGATAACTAGAATGCCAATAGCCCTAGAAATGGGTCTGACTCCCATTCCTGGAAGGGTGGCCTTATATGTTCAGATTTCCAACAAGGACCTCACCACTGTACATCTGTACATGATCACTATATAAGCCAACTATATAGCTATTTATATATGCCACTGACCTATGGACCAAGAGTCATTGAATGTATTTCACTACTGTTCAGGAAACCAAACAGAAACTGTAGCTGCTCTCCTATTACTTACTCATAATCCTTTCCAATAATTTAATTCATTATAAATACAAAGACAGATTTATGGTAACAAAGGCTTCTTAATTTTGGGCTCAAGTAGGAAGCTTACCACATGTCAAAGGTTGTCTTCAGACGTAGAAAGTATAACAGATTATAGGAAGCAATACTCACATCACTGCGCAAGTCATAAGCCTTCCTGGCTTGGATGACATCATTCTGGTCTGGCAGACATGTCCATTGGTGGAGGTGGTGGCGATAGTTAATATCGCTCACAAGTTTCTGGCAGTTTTTGGCTAACAGCACAGACAGCATTTCCACAGGGGTCTGATAATGGGTCTTTAATTTCTCAAATTCCTTTTTGTATTCCCGATCGCTCTGCATTTTAGCAACATGCAAGGCCAACACCAACTTTGGATCATCCTGTACATTCCTGAATCCAACATGATGTCCTTGCTGCTTGCGGTATCCAGTCTTGTATTTATACTAGGAAAGAAAATTACAGAATCAAATAATATCATGCTGGATTACAAATTTTAACTATATATATTTAGTGGATTGAAAACTTCTACTGTACTTAATGCATATATACAGTAGAATTTTAAAAAGTAGGAATTTTGGAATGATGATATGACTTTTGCTAAACTTAATAAAATAAAATTTTTGTACTTACCATAAAATCTTTTTCATTAGATTCATTAAGGGAACAGAGGAAGTCTTTCACCTTTGTGTTATACTGCCACCTACTGAAGGATGGAACACTGGCAAAAAAAAACTGTAGGCCAGCACAAGATAACTCCTCCTACAACCAGCATGCAGGGTAGGACCTGTGAATATCAAATGACTCCAGGAAAAGGATTTTATGCTGAGTGCAAAAATCCTATTTTCTATATTGCTCATTATTATAGCATAGGACGTGTTTCACCTTTGGAACATTTAAAGCAGTTTAACTGAGGGGAGGACAACACAGAAAATAAATGCTAACAATCCCAATAAACACCCTCCTAGATAGCTAGGGGGATCTAGAGCCCCAGTGATAGTTAGGAGGGCTGAGCAGCAGCCCAGGTGTAATAGTCAGTGGGGGTCAAATTTCGATCAGGGCTAAGAGGCTTTGCAGACCAGCCCTCTGGAACTTCCCCCTGCTCTAGAATTTTGGAGAAGATTCTAGAAGCAGTTGGCGTGAGTGAGGAGTTGCTGGTCTGCACTCTCAAGGGATCCTGGCCAATCCCCAAGCAGGAGGCTTGGCATGGGGCCAGGACAGCCCTTAAGAGTGGTTGAGCCTGCTCCATCAAGGAGAGTTTTGGTAGAGGATGGAGAAGTAAGAGGCTGGAGAGCAAGAGCCTGGGAGGGGGCCCAGATGGGAAGGGGCTCACCTACAGGCAGTGGCGCTGGAAAGGAGGAAAGCTCAAGACCTCACCAGCCCCCAGAGTGAGGACCACCTATGCAGCTGGGAAGGAGTGGCCCAGCAGAAGGCCTGAGAGCAGCCACCAACCCACCAGCTTGCAGACAGAGGACTGAGTGAGTAGACCTACACCCCCTGGGCCTAAAGGGGAAGAAGCACTCTAGTGGAAAACTGGATAAGCTTGCTACCCGGGACTGGTTTGCAATTTAAAGTGACAGGCACTGGATCCCCTGCCCAGGGATTCCTTCAGACAGCTGGATAGAGAAGTATCTGGGGTCTGGTGTGGTACACCAGGAGATGCTAGCCAGCTCTCCAGGAGGAATTTCTGATGTTTAAAGAGACTTGTATATAGTTCCAGGAAGTTGTCCTCTGTTCCTTTTCCCTTGGGCATCCAATACACCTCTTACCCCATCCAAGTTATTTACCCCTTAATAAAAAAAAAAAAAAACTTGAGGACTGGTTACTGATTCCTGGATACAAGTCGTTGTGAAAATACATGTTGCCTGGCTGTGCAGGACTATAGGGAGACCCAAATCTCTAGCAACTCCTAAGGGGGTAGTGCTACAAACACAACAGAGAACTGCGGACTACCTGCAGCTCAAAGTGCTGCCTGAAGGACATTATACCCGAAGCTGCCATCAGATGAGGCATCAGATGAGGCCAAAATGTCCATGGATCAAGGATCAAAGTTCCATGTGGCTCCTTGTAAGCAGGAGCAGTAACAGGGAAATGCTTCCTTGATGATGTATGACAAGAAAGAGAGCATGGTGCATGCATGTGCAATACTCTACCTAGTGGATGTCAGTCCTCAGTCTAATAGTGTTAGCCTTTTCTCAGTGGAAACTAGCAGGAAGCCAGGGGTTTTTAAAAGCACTCTGCAACATATGTACTTGAAGCAGCTCACATTGCCTGGCCCAACTGGTTCACATAGTGAGTCTTCAGAGACAGGGCACATGCTGAGACAATACCAACTGCTCTGATGCTGGAAAGTATTCAACAACTAACTTTTAACCAGAACAGAATCTGAAAAGTGTCCTATGTGAAGCCCAATGCCTGAAGGTCACTTGCAGGCTATCCTGGCAATGCCCAGTACAGCAGTTTCTGGATGCAACACTCCAAATGCCACATTAAGGATGGCTACACTGGATAGCTGCAATGGTAGAGAAACTAAGGCATGCTGGTAGTAGGAGGGGTTATGTTCAATCCTCCAGTAGGCAGTAGTATAATTTGATTGTGAAAAATTTCCCCATCCCTCAATATACAGTATAAGAAAGAAAAACAATTAGTCCATTAGTAATTTGTCTACTTTTATAATTGGCACACAAGCTACAGTATTTTATAAGTTAACGCTATTTCTAATGGCCCTTCCATTTCAATCTACATCCGACTATGGCTATTTAAACTACCAAAAATTTCATACTGTTTTTGCTTGCAATCATAGCAAAATTAGAAAACACTCAACAGATTTACCATTTTCTGATTACTTCACTGAATTTGTTCTGTGGAACTGATCTTAGTAGACCTTTCCACTTAGCACTCCTACTTCCTTTAGTGCAGAAAATGGTAATGCATAAACTATCCATTCTCAGTACCTGCAGTGCAGAACCTGAGGCAAATCTGCAATAATGTTTTCTAAAATCAGCATATACTGTAAATTTAATCTCATATCTCTATAAAGTTAATGAAGAAGTGAAATATGGCTTAGTAAATGTCTATAGGGAGATGTTTGAAAATGACTGCAAATGTCCACAAATATCTGCTAAAATAATTTTGGAGAATGCAGTTGTGAATATTGTAATTTTTTTATATATTAATAGAGTATTCCTTTAAGTTGCATGATCTTGTCTTTTTTATGTGTACTTCAATTTTTCATACTAGTGTGCCTAATGCTTGCGTTCTATACTCACATCGCTGGCAATATCCCTGGAAGCTCTGGCGCTCTTGATGGCAATGGTGTCAGCCTTTATGTCATATGCTTTCATCTTGGCCTCATCCCATCCTTTGGTATATAATTTCTGATGATAAAAAAAGAATGCATGAGTTCATCAACAATATTTCCATAGTAAAATCCATGTAATTACAACGTACAATGACTCCAACTTAATAGAACACTTACATTACTGATATTGACAGAATTAGCCTTTGCAAGCAGGATCTCTGGTGTGTCTGGCATGACATGGATGGTTCTCTTGTCAATATCCCAGGCTCCAGTGTACAGGCGCTGGAAGGACAAAAATAACACACCAGTTCACTAATTTATAGAATGTAAAAAGCTCAAAAAAAAACCCTGCACACTTAAAATTTTTTTGCTTTTATAAAAATGTAAAGTTTTGATAATTATTTCAATTAATAGTCAATTATTGTTTTATACAAATAAAGGTTGCACATTTGTGCAGCCTAAATACCCACAGCAAAAAAAAAAAAAAACTTTCATTTTGGGACAAAATATACATTTTTAATATTTAGGACTGTTTTAAAAAAAGCCTAAGATCTTCAATCAACATGTAACGTTTTCTTTGATGACCCAAAACCACGCTGAGCTACACACAGTAAATACAGTGCTGAAATGTGTACAAATTAATACATAAAAATACTGCTGCTACCTCAATATTAAGTCAAAATATCACCAACAAGTAAATTAAAGATGATACAACTATACATACTTATCCATCTCACTAGTAGCGCTGTGAAAAAATTCAAATATCACAACTTAACATAAATGACATTAAGTGCAAACAAAATACTTTTCTTTTAACATACAAACAGAATGTGCAAAACAAATGCGACAAAAGTCCATAAGTGTATATACAAAAAACTATAAATAAGTGCTGGCTTCCTTCCTCGAGCATCCACCGCTAAAAGAGTTTAATTCAATATTCAAACCTACAGGTGCCAGTGAGTATAGGGTAAATGTCCACTTGGTTTCCTCTTGGAGAGGTCCCTTAATCTATTCGAACCCCTCCAAGAGGGATACACCCTATCCACCCCCCAAAATTGTAGACCCCATGGTCCTTGTTATGGAACTTTTTGAAATGTTCAGATACACTGTGATATTTATAGCCATTCACAATGTTACACAATGCTATCCTCTTTTTAGGAGGTCTTTTTGTGCGTTCCACATAACTTTTTAAAAAGAGGAATCAGAAAGAGAATTGATTTAATGATATGATGCCTGGAGGTTATGGTGGAGATCTTTAAGTGAGATATGCCAGTCATGAGAATGGTTGGCATATTCATCTGGTGAGTTTTAATCCAAAGGGAGAGGCACTGCATTATCACATATGGTGTGCGGTGGACACTCCAGGAAGGAAACCAGCATTTGTTTACAGTTTTTTGTATGGACACATACAAACTTTTGTCACTTTTTTGAACATTCTGTTTGCACGTTAAAAGAAAGAGTATTTCCTTTGCACCTAATGTCATTTATGTAAAGTTGTAATCAGGGGTGTACTGACAAGTCATGGGGCCCCCAGGCAATAGGGGATCGTGGGGCCCCTGTGTCCTTGGCCAAACTCAAAAAAGCCTATGAAAAAGATACCAGGGGCATCTCATGGGGCCCCCTACTGACCCCGGGCCCTCAGGCAGTGCCCGAGTTTCCAAATGGTCAGTCCGCCCCTGGTTGTAATATTTGAAGTTCTTTCACAGCGCTACCAGTGAGATGGAGGTGTACAGTATGAATATCTGGATCATCTTTAATTCACTTGTCGACAAAGGTTTTCTTTGGTATATTTTGGTTACATTTATATAATTCTTTGCGTTTTTCCTAATGTTTGTGTAAATTAATTCATTTTTTTTGTGTATTGTTGCTTTCATTTTTTTTTCTTTCTGTCAAAAAACATAAAATAAGAAGTCAAAGGAGAGGCTATTTTTTTAACCGACAGTATAGTTGAAAGTGGGTTTTTGTAAAAATCAGAAGCCATTTAAACTCCAGCACCTATTAGAAGAACACCTAATTGCATCCCAATGTATTGCGCCAAAATATTGAAATTTGGCGACAATCTATACATTTTCACAAAAATTGCAGTAACAGTTCTCGGCAACCAAGACTTGTTTTAATGGTCAAAACATTCTTTATGGCTTGTTCACATCATGCTGTGCATAACACAGCGCATAATGCATGTGCTCTGGTGTGCGATGTGCTTCACTGCATTGCTATAACGAATCATGAATTGCTTGATTTGTTTTCTATAGTCTCTATTTTTTACTTCCATATAAATTCGCGCTGCAGCACGTTGCAATGCATTGAAGCTTGTTGTGACATGCTGCACTGGGATAAAATGATGCTTGCATAGCACAATGCAAGGCACACACAATGCATATTAACAGGTCCTATACAAAACAAAGCCCAATGGGGCTGTGGTGAACAAGCCCTTAGAGTTAAAAGTTGATTACTGCTGCTGATAGCATCAACTGTGCTAGGCTATTCGGCAACAAAGCTTCTCTGTTCTCTCTTCATCCTCAGGAAAGAGAAAGCCTATTCCTCTCAACGCAGTCCTAAGTTTCCTAAAATCAATGCCTTAAAAGCCTTGTACATATGGCCTCCAATTTATATTTAATCAGTGTGTACATCAAGCGATTACAGAGCTTTCAGCAACCTTTAAACAGCTTTTCTGACGTCTTTAAAGAAACCTTCTATAATTTGGAGATCATTAACACATATCTACCACTTTAAGAGTGACCCTGTTGCTAGCTGGAAGAAATAAAAGTAAAATAAACCTGTACATCAAATTTTCAGGCAGGTGGTGTGTTCAATTTTTGCTCTTTCCTGAGCTACAACCACCGCTGCTATCTGACACTTCTGGGTATGTCAGAAAGCATTTCCCCTGCTGTGTCATGTGGATACTCCTGTCGCCCATTACTTTACAGCTGTGTCCTGTAGTGATTCAGTGGTTGCAGGAAGGAAACACAGCATCAAAGACACAGGAGTGACAGCCTGAGCTCATGAAGAGCTCACCAGAAAAACAAGTATTTTATTCATTTACAGGCTAATTCTTCTCTAACGACACAAAAAACTAATACTAACTTCTACCATTAAAAAAACCTAATAGCAAGATCCCTATAGGGTTTGAAAAACTTCATATTGATAGTGATAAACCTACCTTGTTCATAGTCTGAGCATTGTTCTGGGCCAGTACTATTTCCATTGAGTCTGGGACAGATGTGAACTTGAAAGTATCTGGCTTTTGACGATAGAACTTCTCACTCAAGATCTGTCCAGCTTTCTTTACCTTTTCCACTTCTAAAGAACCAGAAGGCACCCAACCAATACCTTTCAGCCATTCCAGGTCAGATTTGTAGACCGCCTAAAACAAAATCGTTGAAACAAATTATTCTTGGGTGATGAAATGTTTGCAGATTTAGAAAACAATTTGTAGAAATCTGATCACATACATCACTCTGAAGTTCATAAGCTTTCTTGGCCTGAATGACGTCATTCTGGTCTGGCAGACATGTCCATTGATGAAGGTAGCGGCGATAGTCAATGTCGCTCACAAGTTTCTGGCAGTTCTTGGCCAACAGCACAGACAACATTTCCACAGGGGTCTGATAGTGGGTCTTCTGTTTATCAAAATCCTTCTTGTACTCACGGTCACTCTGGATCTTGGCAACATGCATAGCCCAAACAGATTTGGGATCATCCTTGAGACTTCTGAATCCAACATGATGGCCTTGCTGCTTTCTGTAGCCTGCCTTGTATTTATACTGTAGGAATTAATAAAATATTGAAATAAAAAAGCCCTGCAATTGTTGCATTCTAAAAAAAGTAAATGAAATGCAATTTTCTGGGACACTTACATCACTGATTATATTTCTTGAAGCCTTTGCTGCCTTAATGGAGATGGCATCAACACGTAAGTCATAACCTTCCTTCTTTTTGCTTTCCTCCAGGGCAAGTCTATACTGTTTCTGTAAGAACAGAAAAACACAAATATTAGAAAAACCTGAGAATAGATGCTACTGTGCTGAAAAAAATAGAAGAAATCAAGATTAAGAGGGAGCTAGCTAAGGTGAAATTAGCTTTAGCTAAACTCACTTTCTTACTTATCTTAAAAATAGCTAAGTACTGATGGACACTGCCATATTTTTTGCAACATTAGCAGGGCCCTGCAGGCAGTGATCCATGACTACTGTCAAACATATCTCAAATAAAAAAAAAAGTTTTGGCTATACATATATTTCCATTGTTTCCAGGGTTCTCATCAACACGAAGACCTGCCTAGTTCTTGAATATCATTATCTGCCCTTCCCAGTGCTGGTCCTATCCACTCTGTCATGTTAAAAGGCTACCTCTCACTCTGAGCCTGAGTATATATATATATATATATATATATTATTGTTTTTTAACCCCTCTTACCAGTACTACCTACCTCACTGTAATTGATACGATTTGCTTTGGCCAGCTCGATTTCAGGAGTGTCTGGCATCACATGGACCGTTTGTTTATCCTTGTTCCATGCTTCGGTGTACAGGCGCTATGAGACACCAACATGAACAGAGTTAATGACATAACAATAAACACTAAGACACAGCAACAGCCTTATCAGCTAGTTTAATAAGGTGAAGAAAATGTGCAATACACAGTATCTCACAACCAGCAATCAGCAGTCATCCTCTGTTTCAGTGAGGTAAAAAAATTTGAATGGCTGCCATGGCATGGCTTACTGCGCACCCTTGTAAGGATTTTCCAGCTATGTGCATTTACTGTATATAGAAAAAACATATTATAAAGTACTTTATATAGCTATTCACATCAGTCCCTGCCTCCTAAAGGGCTTACAATCTAATATCATAATTTGGGCCGGTTTTGCACTAAAATCAGTAGGTCATCATTTTCTATGTGTAACATACGGTACTTGTGCATTTGTTATTTTCACAATTATAATTAATTCCTCTCTTTTGATAGCTCCCAACTTTGTCCTTCTGTGCCTCCTCTCCTGCTAATAGTTGGTGCAACAAGTGACCACTACACTTGGAAAGTCCCAGCTTGCTGGTATTATTCTAAGGTGATTGTAACTATCGTGCTTAGTGTAACTGCGCACAGCTTCTTCAGGAGAGAAGAAAGGAACAGTGAAGGTTAATGTTGGACCATGTCAAAGTATAACTTAACCTTAAAGAGTACCTAAACCCAAGGACAAAGCAAAATGTAGATTACCAGTCCTAAATTGTGGTGGCTGCATTGTTTTTTTTCAGTACTGTTCCTCTTTATTTTCACCTGATGATCCTCCATAACATGCTTACTGTCCTAACGTGCTAACATCATTCACTTTACTGTCTCTATAGAGGCACCATGTTGTCACCCTAGACTGTTGGCTCCTATTTTGGATTGCAGAACATCTACCTCCCTCCTTTTTTCCATAACACAGGAAGGTTTGCTGTAGTTCACAGAGGTGAATGGGGCATGGTTGATAACACTGCGTGAGGCTTTAGCACCCCACAGGCACTTGAGTTGAAAGCTCAAACAGGAAAATGAAACCCATTACATTTCTGGCAGGAACTGGTAATTATTGCACCTATTAAACAGATACAACAAAACACTTTCAATTGTTTATTAAACAGAGAAAATAACAGCTGCTCATGCAATACTTATAGTAGTACTAAAGGCTACACTTTTTTACCCTAACACATTCACAGCATTAAGGCAAATAAAGTGCTTTTACTACCCCTAGTCCCCAAACACTTATCTGTCATCTTCATTACCTCTGCCAGGGGGAAGGATCGATTAACACCAATCCTTGAACTTCCTGGATCTTTAGCAGACACTGAGGGCATCGGAGCAATACGTTTCTGTTCCCATCAGTCAAACTGTTGGGAGCAGACGGGGAAGGGAGGTTGCTTGGTTCAGGAAGGGAGCATGTACGGGTGTCGTCTCAGCACAAGGCTAGCTGAGGAGACACCAACAAATGGGGAGGTGGTGACAACAGCATTGTGATCCCAGGGACCAGGGCTGGATCTAGCCTGATATGGGGGTGCAGTGAAGAATGTCAGGGGGCAGAGGATGCGAGGTCGACAGGACAGTGTTTAAGAGTCAGTGTAGACCAGTGTAAGAGCTCTACACTGTAAGAGCAGTGTATATGGGAGTCAGCATGGCAAAGGATAGGGTCAGCAGTTTGTAAGGCAGTGTACAGAGGCCATTAGTTTGTAGGGCAGTGTACAGTGGGTTATCTATTCAATGTGCAGTGGTTAGCATGGCAGAGGACAGGGGTTAGCAGGGAAATGTACAGGGGTCAGCATGGCGGAAGACAGTGATCAGCAGAGTTGAGGACAAGGTAGCTTCTGGCAGGGCACTTAAGAGATTTCCTCCTCCCCACACAGCACATAGCTTAGATCAGTATTCCTCCACACAGTGTGTAGCTGGCTACTGCAGCTGCCAATCCAATCAGGGAATTTCACAGGTCAGAACTGCACCACAGCAGCCAGCTACACATTGTGTTAGGGAATCTGATCTCAGCTACATATTATTATGTTGGGAGGAGAACAACTTAAATCTGGGGGGGCACAGCCCATCCCGGAACCCCCCTAGATCAGCAATGGGCAAACTACGGCCCGTGGGCCAGGCCCGGCGGACCTTTTAATCCGGCCCGCGGAGTGTGGCAAACATTGGCTGTCAGGATGTAGGCGGGGCAGCGTGAGGAACTCCTCTCCTCTCACAGTCCGCCCTGAAGACCGGAACGGCGCGGGAACACGGCAAGAGGTACGCGCGGAGCAAAGGTAAGTGAATTGACACAATATGGGGAATGAATTACTATAGGGGGGATGAATTACTATAGGGGGGATGAATTACTATATGGGGGGAATGAATTACTATAGAGGGGATGAATTACTATGGGGGATGAATTACTATATGGGGGATGAATTACTATATGGGGGATGAATTACTATGGGGGATGAATTACTATATGGGGGATGAATTACTATATGGGGGATGAATTACTATGGGGGATGAATTACTATATGGGGGATGAATTACTATGGGGGATGAATTACTATGGGGGATGAATTACTATATGGGGGATGAATTACTATGGGGGATGAATTACTATGGGGGATGAATTACTATGGGGGATGAATTACTATGGGGGATGAATTACTATATGGGGGATGAATTACTATGGGGGATGAATTACTATGGGGGATTAATTACTATATGGGGGATTAATTACTATAGGGGGGATGAATTACTATATGGGGGATGAATTACTATAGGGGGGATGAATTACTATAGGGGGGATGAATTACTATATGGGGGATGAATTACTATGGGGGATGAATTACTATAGGGGGGATGAATTACTATATGGGGGATGAATTACTATGGGGGATGAATTACTATATGGGGGATGAATTACTATGGGGGATGAATTACTATGGGGGATGAATTACTATATGGGGGATGAATTACTATATGGGGGATGAATTACTATGGGGGATGAATTACTATATGGGGGATGAATTACTATATGGGGGATGAATTACTATATGGGGATGAATTACTATGGGGGATGAATTACTATGGGGGATGAATTACTATATGGGGGATGAATTACTATGGGGGATGAATTACTATGGGGGATTAATTACTATGCTTACTATGGGGGAATATTACTTTACTTACTATGGATGGCATGGTAGTGGCTGGGCCAGCCAGCAGTTAGTCCGGCCCCCGGGTCCAATATTTGAACCCATTGCGGCCCTCAAGTCAAAAAGTTTGCCCACCCCTGCCCTAGATCCAGCCATGCCAGGGACAGGAGGAAAGGGACACTTTAGAAGAGGACAATTACACATAATAGGTGTATGTGAACCTCTTAATCTGAAAAAAAATGAGGGTTTGGTATCACTTAGACTCTTTAAAAGCTAGCTCTAAACTTAAACTTAAACCTGAACTCCTAACATGATCCTAAATCTAACCCTTACTTTTGTAGTGCCACACATACCTGATTAGCACTACTCCTGCGCCAAATACATTGACAAAAATTGGGTGCACGAATCCAACTGTTCCTTTTATGTTTTATGGGTAAATATGTGACATTCACTAACTCTTATTACTATTGCTAAATATTTAATAATGGATCTTTAACAAGATCTTCAAACTGCAGCATGAAATGAGTTGTCAAGAGTTACATCTGTTTCAAGAGATGACTGCTGGAAAGGAGACAATTCAGTAGCCCTGTAACCTTTTTCATAAAATTAACAGCATTTCTGCTAATTGAAGCAAAGACAGCAGGAAAAGCAACCAATACAATGACTCAATACTTAAAACATTTCAAACATTACCTTGTTCATGATTTCAGCATTAGCTTTTGCTAGCATCAGTTCCATGGAATCAGAAACACTAGTGAATTTGAGGGTGTCTGGGTTCTGGCGGTATTTCTTTTCACTAAGAATTTCACCAGCTTTCTTGGGTCTTCTCTACCTCTAGTGAGCCAATGGGGACCCAGCCAGTACCTTTCAGCCACTGTAAGTCTGCTTTGTACTGGTTCTGCAGACAGAAAACTTAGCATTAAATCACAAGAGTTCAATACAAGTAAAGAGAGCCTGTTATTTAGAAAGAATGCTATCTAACAATATCAAACAACAACAAAAAAAGCGTAAGATAATTTACCAATTTTGCTAGGTGATATAAAAAGAAAATTCAAAGATATGTACACGCATAGAGTGATGGCAAACCTAACCTCACACCAAACATTATTTTCATACCTGTGTATGGTAAAACACAAAGTGCATATCCAGTGAATTTGTTTTTTTTTTTATTTAGGCATCGTGATTGATGATGGATTTACAATGAGGGATTTTTTGAGGATTTTATTTTTTTTTAATAAATGGCTTTTCAAAGGTTTGGGTGTATTTATTTCTAGGTTACAGCTGTTGTTTTATGTGAATGAGTAGGGATACTATGTACCCCATAGTCATGTACATGGGGGGAGGGGGCGATATCTGTGGCCCTCTTATTATTAAAGGAGGCTTCCAGATTCTGCTAAGCCCCCTGCCCGCAGACCCCCACAATCACCAGCTAGGGTTGTGGGAAAGAGGTTCCTGTCCTCATCAACATGGGGACAAGGTGGTTTGCCAGGGGGCGTCCCCTCTGGCAGGGCACCCCACTCATGTTGAGAGCATGGGGCTGGTTAACGGGGAAGGGGGGGCGCATGCTTGTAATATTTTAAAAAACCACCATCTTGCAGAAATCTCTACTGTTACTTCTGTTCTGAGCTAAAAAAAGAAGTAACAGAAGGGGTTTCTTTTTTATTGCTGCATGTGTCTCAACTGGGAAGACCACTCTCCCCAAGAATGACAGTGATAGAAATAATATTTTTAGTTGTCAATGGAACAGAAACCAAGGGGAAACCTTTCAATATTGACACTTGTTCCAGTGGCAAATGTCTAAGAGGGTATTAGAGATTTCCTCTTACTTCCTGCTGAGTCTACTGGACAGAAAATGGAGATAAATTTCCCCCATGGCACACAGATGACAAAAAAGAGAGACGGGGCTTTTAACCCGTACTCCATCCTATTCTATTAAAAACTATGAATAAAAAAATTAGCCTTTAGATCCAATCAAAGTTTTAACTTCACAAGCTTACAGATGTGTCAGTGTACAGTATTTTTTGATTAATCATATTTTATTACAAGGCAAATAAATGTTAAATATATTTGTAACGACACCAATGACTGCACTCTGCGCACACCCATGAATTTAAATGCTTCTCACCGACCATACGCATATAAGCCCTCTCTGCAGGTGGGCTTTAATGACAAGCAGCCACAAATATACTGTATGTGGCCCTATGTAAACAATTACCTGTACTGAGAGCACGCTTTCTGCGCTCCCAGTACAGTGACTGGTGGGTCACAGGAGTCACAAAACTGGAATTCCCACATGAGAGGTGTCGGCGGGAAGGGGTTAAATATTTAAGGGCTAAGTTCACCTTTTAAAAAAATAATGCAAATTTTTTTGCATTTATATTTTTTTGTCTTAGGAGCCCATAAAGCATTGCCCCCACCATCAGCAGATTGCAGGCGCAATGCCAGGCTCCTGCAGACTCTCAGTACACTGTCTGCCTGTATCTTCCCATATGGGCAGGCAGTTACAGAAGTCCAGGAAGAATCAATGAACTATGAGAGCGCCCTCACAATTCATTGAGAACTATGAACCATCGTCCTCAATGTATTTGATTTGTGACAACAGGTGCAGGGAGAAGATCCCCCATCCACTGTTACAATGTAGGATCAGGTCTGGGTGCCGGCAGGTGCTTCAGTAACATGTTAATATTACTAAAGGTGAACTTATCCTTTAAATCTTACAAAAAAGCTAATTGTGTTAGGATTGCTCACAATAACAAGTGATAATTGCTGTGATACTTATTTTTGTAAAGGTGTGTCTTCCCTTGCAGAAAAAACCCTATAGTTGGCAGTAATGTTGTTGAGAAAGAAGCTGGGTGGAAGTAGGTGTCTGACATGCTTCTGCTAAGTTTGCCTTACAGCGCAACAATCAGCAAAGCTCATGCTCCCTACTGATCAGAGTACTGTATGTCCTACGCAGAAAGCATATCAGACCACAGTGGAGAGACCGCTGCTTCCACACCAAGCCAATAGGTCCTTTTATACAGCATACTGACAAGCATAGGACTATTTTGCTGAGGTTGGGACACAAAAAGAACAAGCAGTAAGGCTATTACCGCTTGTTATTTTGAGCCATCCTTACTTGATTTGTTGTTTTTAAAGAATGGGTCTTAAATTAGGAGCTTTTTTAATTTCTCACAGCCACGTTCATCCTGTCCCAATCTACCCATAGTAAGATGAAAGGAAAACTGCTTTATCCAAGATTGCTTTAGTGGTTTGACCTCTTCATTATTGCAGTGTAGCCAAAAGATGGCTATAGTGCAGTTCCCTCTTTCTGGGATATTGTCTATAGACGTCCTCCTATAATGTGCCTCGTACACGCCCCCTGGGGGTGCGCATCTGGTGGGGTCTGTGATTGATGTGCCTTTTGGACACAGCTGATTACAGATCATGGTAAAGGGACAATCACAGCAGCCCTTTACATGTGATCAGCTGTGTCCAATCACAGCTGATCACATTGTGAACAGACTTTCTGGTTATCGGTAGTCCTTTCTTCAAGGCACTGTCACAGAATGAGAAGAGGAGAGCTGGGAACCAGCAGTTCTGACAGGGGACGTTTACACTGATAATCAGTGCAGCCCCATGAGTGTTGCCTATCAGTGCCTCTTCATCAGTGTTGCCTCATCTGTGCCCATCAGTGGCACCTGATCAGTGCCCATCACTGCAGCCTCATCAGCGCATATCAGTGAAGGAGAAAAACTACTTATTTGCAAACTGTAATAACAGAAACTAAGAAAAACTTTTTTTATTTTAAGAATTTTTTTCATTGTTTGTTTATCAAAAATAAAAAACCCAGTGGTGAAAAAAAAGTGATGAAAATTTCATATGGGTACAGTGTTGCATGACCATGCAGTTGTCATTAAAAGTGCAACATCGCTGAAAGCTGAAAATTGGCCTGGGAAGGAAGGGGGTGAAAGTGCCCAGTATTGAAGTAATTAAACTTGGTAATATCCCACCAAAATATGTGCAATTGTAAGGTGTGCTCCCATAACTGTTCTTCAGGCAGAAATTATAAATTAATACTCACATCACTCTGGATGTCATAGACTTTCCTGGCCTGAATAACATCATTCTGGTCTGGCAGACATGTCCATTGGTGAAGGTAGTGGCGGTAGTCAATGTCGCTCACAAGTTTCTGGCAGTTCTTGGCCAACAGCACAGACAACATTTCCACAGGGGTCTGATAATGGGTTTTCTGTTTCTCAAAATCCTTCTTGTACTCGCGGTCACTCTGGATCTTGGCAACATGCATAGCCCAAACAGATTTGGGATCATCCTTGAGACTTCTGAACCCAACGTGGTGCCCTTGCTGCTTGCGGTATCCTGTTTTGTATTTATACTGCAAAAGAGAATTACCAGAGTAATAACCTGTTCAGTGGTAGCAACTCATGATGATCTTTCTATTCATTAGCTGTACACCATTGTAATGACTTTTCATTGTTTAAAACCCTACTGTTCAAAAATGTAAAAGTAAAATGTAAAATAAATGTTATATTTGGACTACAGAGACTGTATCCCCACTTTCATGGAGCTTTATCTTTGAGATGTACCAGCTAACAATGCCATTTAAATCACAACGCAGTATCTCCTCCTTGTTCTCTGTTTACCATCTGCCCCTCCAACAAGACATTGCTTCCCCCAAAATGCTGCCAATATCTACAGTTTACTTCAAGACAATTCTTTAAACAAATATGGTCTTCATAGCTTCTCACAACTGACACTAGAGCAATCTTACTAAGGTCAGTCGAGTGATAGGTTTTAGACTCTAGGAGTAGCATAACGATTTAAACCATAGCACAAAAAATATGCCCTTTAAATGACTTTACCTAGCTCAGAAGTTTAGCTCTGCCTTTTACCAAGAGTTTGGACTTAAGCCACCAGAGGTTCAAATTTCACACTTCGAGAAAGACTCTGTGGCATATAGACAGGATCAACTATTCCATTTGTACTGTCCACAACCTTCACACAACTACTTTAACACACAAGCACATACAGGTGCATCTCAATAAATTAGAATATCATCAAAAAGTTAATTTATTTCAGTGATTCAATTAAAAAGTGAAACTCATATAATATTTAGATTAATTTCACACAGAGTAATATATTTCAAGCATTTCTTTCTTTTAATTTTGATGATTATGGCTTATAGCTAGTGAAAACCCAAAATTCAGTATCTCAGATAATTAGAATATTACATAAGGCCAATAAAAAAAGGATTTTTAATACAGAAATTTTGGCTTACAGAAAAGTATCTCCATATACAGTATAGTATGCACTCAATACTTGGTCAGGGATCCTTTTGCATGAATTACTGCATCAATCCGGCATGGCATTGAGGCCACCAGCCTGTGGCACTGCTGAGGCATTATGGAAGCCCAGGTTGCTTTGATAGCAGCCATCAGCTCGTCTGCATTGTTGGGTCTGATGTCTCTCATCTTCCTCTTGACAAGACCCCACAGATTCTCTATAGGGTTTAGGTCAGGTGAGTTTGCTGGCCAATCAAGCACAGTGATACCCTGATTATTAAACCAGGTATTGGTACTTTTGGCAGTGTGGGCAGGTGCCAAGTCCTGCTGGAAAATGAAATCAGCATCTCCATAAAGCTGGTCAGCAGAGGGAAGCATGAAGTGCTCTAGAATTTCCCGGTAGAGGGCTGCGCTGACTTTGGACTTGATAAAACACAGTGGACCACCACCAGCAGATAACATGGCTCCCCAGATCATCACTGATTGTGGAAACTTCACACTGAACCTCATGCAACTTGGATTCTGTGCCTCTTCTGTCATGTCAGCAGCCATGATTGTATAAACTAAGGAACCAGACTGAGATACCATTTAAAGGCTCAGGAAACCTTTACAGGTGTTTTGAGTTAATTAGATGATTAGAGTGTGACACCATGGGGTTTATTTACTAAAGCTGGTTCACTCAGAAACTGGTGCAGCTGTGCATGGTAGCCAATCAGCTTCTAACCTCAGCTTGTTCAATTAAGCTTTAGCAATAAAACCTGGAAGCTGATTGGTTTCTATGAAAAGCTGCACCAGATTCTGAATGAACCACTTTGGTAAATAAACCCCCATGAGTCTACAATACTGAACTTTTTCACAATATTCAAATTTTCTGAGATACTGAATTTTGAGTTTTCACTAGCTGTAATAATCAAAATTAAAAGAAAGAAATACTTGAAATATATAACTCTGTGTGTAATGAATCTATAAAATATACGAGTTTCACTTTTTGAATTGAATTACTGAAATAAATGAACTTTTTGATGATATTCTGATTTATTGATATGCACCTGTATGCTGTATTAGTTTATATGTATCGTAGATCACACACCAATGTACTTTGTTAAATTTCTGTTGCTCAGATCTTTCAAACCATAAAAAAATAAATATATAACTGTAAATTAATACATTTAAATAATGATGTATTATATTAATATACAGTATATCTATTTGTGACAGAAATATGTTAAGTTTCCGGAAGCCAACCTTCTATGTTATTTTGTCTGATTACAAAGCCATATGCCATCACCAGAACATAACCCCACCAAGTTATGGTGAAGCCGTTGAAAAACAAAAAGCTCAGCACTAAACTGAGAGTACAGCAGAGCGTATATATAGAATATCTCAACCATCATATAGCACGAAAATATTCCCCAGAACAGAAGAACCCAATACTTACATCACTGGCAATATCTCGGGAAGCCTTTGCAGCTTTAATATAGATGGCGTCAACTCTGAGGTCATACCCCTTCTTCTTTGATTCTTCCATAGCTTGTCTGTATTTGCTCTGAATGGGAAAACATTGCAGATTCAGTAATGACATTTCAATGACATTAGCTAAAATTAGGGCATTTTAATTGTTTCACAATCAATGACCACAGACTTTTGTGACAACACAGATGTATAAACCCTGACAAATGAAACTTTGCATGAAAACATTATTTTGCTTGCACATTATGGCATGATGGAAGTCAGCAGAGCTTCAGCTCATTCGCTAAGCTCTGGGGCAAATTCCCTTGCAAATAATATTTTATATAGTGAACAGCCTAGTTACCTATAGTAAATAAACCCCCTTGTGTTAGCATAGCCATTGTAATTATCTGAGTTGTATAAAGCAAATGAGAAAATAAAGTTTTAAATAATTATTTTGTTTACTTCTTGTTTCAGCTGTCTTTTTTTTCTCACCTGAGTCAAATATTTAATCTAATCCAAATCTTACAGCACGCAAAAGTAAGACTGCACTTTAGTGGAGCACAAGAGAGCTTAGTAGGCACTGACTGCTATCACATATTTCACAGTAAGTGATCAAAGTAGTAATAAGTACAGTTTGTTTTTGAAATTGTATATGGAGAGTTAGAGCCAATGGCAAAGCTCCAGAGATAAGGGCCCTAGTGCACACTTTAGTATGGACTTTCCCTTCTTTACTGGGTTCCTCCCATTCTGGAAAAGTCCAACATTACTGTGAACTTACTCTAATACAAAGAGGATTGAACACATGTGCTTGAGCCCCTGTTGTAGAGCAACCCAGACAGGCTACAGAGATAGAACAATAACACTACCCCATGCATCCCCTGCACCGAGTTTTGTGGCATGATTTCATTTTACAAGGGGATGCATGGAGGATTGTCACTGCACCCTGTGACAGCTGTGTAGTTTTCAAACACCACTCTGCTTTTGAGAAACTGGCATATCCACTTGGCACTTGGCCCTCACTGCATTAGCATAACTACGCAGGGTGTAGAAACCCTTGCAGCAATAGGTGAATTCCTGTTTTCTGAGTAAACTTGTTACCATGTCTATGACAAATTCTGTACAAATGAATCTATATAAGTGTCCTTTTACAAGCATCTGCTCTTTACGTGAATCTGATATGATAATGTATGAATGTTTTACACTAGAAAATAGTATGAAAAGAATTAAACAAGTTTTGGCTTGCCACAACTAGAATCCAGTGACTCTAGGCTAGAGCCTATACGAGCTTGCGATAAGCCTGTTATTGCACCACAATCTGACCTGTAAGTAAGTACAATGTGTATGATGCAGTTGAACAACATAAGGTTAGCAAAGTTTGTGGGGTTTTTTCTGCAATTTAGAATTTTTTATATTATTATAATGATTGGTATTCATATTAGTTTACTCACCTCACTGTAGTTTATCTTGTTCTGTCTTGCCAGTTCAATTTCGGGTGTGTCAGGCATGATATGAATGGTGGTCTTATCTTTATTCCAGGCTTCTGTGTACAGTCGCTACAAGATTTGAAAAAAAATGGAAGTTACAAAATCTATTGATTTACTCAAAATTACACTAGCTTTCGCAGTCAAACTCCAGCTGAAACCTTTTTTTTACATTTGGATAGAGTAGGAAAGGGTTAGAACGCCTTTGTCTTTATTACTGTATGTGAGAGTGAGAGGAGGTATCTCCAACAGAAACACAGGCGGCAATTTTCAGAACTTTGGGGAGATCTTAGAATCTCTTTTAGTTTTTCATTGCTTACCTTTTTTTCCAATGATACTTGTCACACAGACAGGAGAGACAGAGAAAAAAAGTTCTATCTCTTCTCTGCTCTACACAAAACTGTAAATTCCACCTTTAAAAGGCTTCTGTCAATATTATCCCTAGATATATATATATATGCCTTTATACTTGTAAAGATAGTAGTACCATGCAGGGGAGAAATGGTTGGGAACAGAGTGACAATTGCTCCCCAGGCCAGTACTAATAAGATATGTAGGACTGTTGGTCCTGAGTGGAGATACTTCACAATTCATACATCGATCAGAGCTCAACCTTTGGTCAGTGAGACATGCTGGGCATTATATAGCTACCTGCGCCCCATTCAGACCCGCAATGGCAGCAACTGGGAAAGGGAACTCTTCCAGCATGGAATTCCTTTGCAGCCCTAAAATGGTATGGGACCGAATTCTGAGAAATGCAAAGGATGCTGAAGTTGGAAGATGCAAAAATATGTGTCTCGATGTTCTTAAGGAATAACCTTTCATCATTGCAATCAATCAATAAAGCACAATGACTCTTTTGCATTGTACACTTTCTTTCACCCACAGAAGTCTGTCCCTTCCAAGAGCTAATTGGTTGTGTTTACCTAGGCCAATGGTTTCCAGTCCTCTCCTGGTACCATAATAATATAATGTTCCCTTTGGCAAGGACTGATAAGAACTCCTATTGTGTACTCTGCTATATGCACAATAACATGTTGGTCACTTATTATTTTAAATCAATGAATACACGTGAGAAAAAAAATACACCTGTTAACTTATATTAACTTACC